TCGGCGCCAAATCGCCGCCAGCTCGGAGTCTGACGAGTTCGGGAACTGCTTTCGTAGTGATGACATCGCGAGCTGTTCGGAGGCTCGTCTGAACGCGATGACCTCCAAGGCTCCCTGGGTGTGATGATCATCGTAGAGCCTTCGTTGTAATTTGAGTGCTCGGCCCTCATCGGTGTCCGGGTGAACACCCTCGAGGTATCGAGCGGCCGGCAAAACTGCTCCGGAGCTGCTGCCGGGCATTTGGGAAAACTGCTCGATGGGATCGAGCTGAGTCGCCGATGTCTCGGGAAACTGTTCAATCGGATCCGACTCAATCGGGGACTGGCGAGAGTGTGCCATCACTTCGGGTGGATCGGGAGGTTCGGGTAACACGAGTCAAGCTTGAGAGGTCGAAGTCTACGGAAGCCAAGCAATCTCCAAGGAGAGAGCAGGCCCCACTACAACTAGTAGAGCCTGATGCAACCGAGTAACATGTCCTACAGGCGAGCACATTTGGTCTTGTCGTCGTATGTAACGAGTCATTCGGGGGTTGAGACCTACGGGTCAGGTGGACGCATCGCCGAGGCGGAAGTCCCCTTTTGCCGAAACGGTCACTGACCCGGAAACACCCGTACATCGCCGAGGCGGAAACGGGGCGACCGTGAGACTCCAAAGGTCGGGTAGGCCTCGTGTAAAGGCTCACGCGTTCTCGCGGAATCGCAGGATGAAAGCCGGCGGCTCTGCGGCGATCATCGATCGCATTCGCTCGTGTTGGGCGAAGGCACTTCGCATCGCCGGTGAGAGCATATTCGAAGTGCATGAAAGTATCGCCGAGGCCTGCTCCCGAAAGAAGGTCTGCATGGGCTCGAAGTATGGCATCTGCGCCGCGAAGGTGTTGAGATTCCTGGCCGTGTGGCACCAAATTCGGAGTCGGTTCATCCGATCTTCCACCGAAGTATGGTTCAGGTCGGAGAGAGAGGCGGTGATGCTGTGCCACACCATCGAGTAGATCAAGGTAGTCCGGGGTTCCACGAAGTTATTCGGGACACCCAGGAGCAACACCCTTTCTTGCAGTACGTCGTCTTGCGGGGTGTGGATCGGGAGGTCGATGTAAAGGCCGTATTGGGTAAGGTAGCTCCCGAAAGTAGGGCATCGGAGTACCTGTTCGATGTAGATAATGCCATCGTATGTGATCTCCCATGGAGTGTCGAAGGCGAAGGAGGAGTAGGGGTGGTTGCCGGGTGGCAACATCGCGACATTGTGTCCGCCCACCGGCGTCATCGCTTGTAAATTCGACGACATCATCGGGAAGTTGTCGAAGTGGCGCAGCGTTTGAAAACCAAACACTGGCTCGTGTGATGACGGTGCATTGGATCGGACATCGTCGATCGAAGTGCGCCCCTTCTCCACCACCTGCGAGTCGCGCCACTGCACTCGGAATCTCTCGAGGCATGACTGTCGTGGTGGTTGTGGCTGAACCGCGACCGGTACACTCGTGTAAGGATTCCCCAAGGAGGTCGTGATAGTCGAGGAAGAGGCCGCCCCCGACTCGTTGGTAGGTGGCCGTAAGACTTGCCTCGGGTCGTTTCGTGTCAAGTCCACAGCAGGGTGGACGGAGAATCTCGGCGGCACGACCTTTCCAAACCCCGCGGAGCTGTCGGCGTCGGGGTGTGGTCGTTTGGGCATGGCCTTGGTCTGAGTGCTCACGAGAGTCGTAGTAGCGGCAGCCCCAAAGGATGGGTTGATCCACTCGGATTCACTCGCGGAATTGGCCACCGACCCAGCGCTCCTTGGGTTCATCGATGTCGCAGGGGTAGCTGTAGTAACCACGGTCGGAGGTGTCGGTGGTGGTGTCGCGGAATCATCGTCATCATGCCAAGGATCTGGCGACCTCGGCCTCGTCTGCGGTGTCGTGGTGGTCGGTGGGGCCGCCGGAGTCGGGGCTGGTGTCGAAGCGGCGATCTCATCCGGGATTTCGACGATCACCGGGGTCTTAGAGTCAAGCCATCTCTTCGCCGGTGACTGGGATCTCTTCGGGAATCTCGCCGGAGAAAGCGGTCGTTGTGATCCCCTGGCTGCTCCATCGCCGTGGCGGAAAGCAGTTCGGGGTTCACGGCCGAAGCTGGGTGCATCGGAGTCCGTATCCGTGCTGACCTGGAAGAAAGGTCTCCTTGGTGTCGGCGGCGTCGGAGTAGTCGAAGGTGCCGTCGATGGGACCGCTGCCGGCGGTGCTGTCGATGGGGCTGCTGTAGAAGGGGCTGACGAGGGAGCCGCTGAAGGGGGCCATCGGGGTCTCGAAGTAGGGAAAATCGCTCCCCGTGTCGGAGTTGAGTGTTGTCCCCAGGTCGCCGGAGGTCTAGATTCCTCGCGAACTCTGCGAGGAGAGCGTCCGCGACGATGCAGGCCATCCGCGATCTCTTGTCGTAGTTGTTGGGCAGCATCAGATCTATCCCACGATTCGTAGTCGTAGTACCTGGAGAAGTTTGTGCCAAAGTTGAACTTGCGCATCTCGGCGGAACGGAACGTGGTCATCGAGTCCATGATCCACTCACGAGCCTGTGCTCGGTTGACCTGCTCGATGATTCCGTTCTTCGACGAGTAATGGTAAGGTGGTTCGCCTCGACGATTCTGTCGTTGTACTACGAAAGCTTGTCGCATAGCTTCATCGAACGTGTGGCCATGTTGATTCCAGCACGTATTGTGGTACTCGCAGCATCCCTGGAACCATTTGTGGCATATGAGGTTGGGCACTACCCACGACTTGTTGAGGAAATCGGGGTGAAGGTATCCACAATTGGCCATGTTACAGTTCTTCTTCTCGAGAAGTCGGGGACAAAGCTGTCGTCGTATCTCAGAGATGGGGACTTGGGCCGTGTCGCTGACTACTTCGGGGTACTCGTTAAGCATCGACTCTGGAACAGGGGCCGTCATCTTCACCAGCGTGCCCTCGCAGAGAAAATCGAACCATGAGTCAGCTCGGGTACGTGCCATGGCTACGAAGTGACTAATCCAAATCGATGGTAATCGAAGTAGTGGGCTTGAGATGCCCTTCGAAGTTCCGCTTTCGAGCTTTAGAGGCAGCGGGTTCAGGATTATGTAATTCCATGCCAAAATCATCACGCAAAAGGTCTGCCAAATGCTGATTATGCAATTCAGTCTCATGTGCAAGAAGGGCTGCGTCGGTGTCTGGAGGAAGAGGTACATGGTCGGAGTCAGGGTGTAGAGAAGCCTCGACGACCTCGAAGGGAATCGTCAACTGCTCCGCGGTGTCGTCGCGATTAGTGATGTGCAGGTAGAGGAAGGCCTCGAGAGTCGGCGGCTTAAGCAAGGTCGCCGCCAGATTGACAATGTCGTCACCAGTTCGGCACTGGGAAATTTGGTCGATGGCCTCGCGAATCTGTCGTGACTGTCGTTTGTTCCAAGCTCCCCAAGTCACATCCTCGGGTTTCTCGATTTGGAAATCTTCGAGAACTTGCTCGCGACTGAATTCTTCGAGCGATTCCTTCAGACTGTCAACAACCGACAGAGAAGCCGTAGTGCTCGAAGTACTGGCCGCAAGCAGCGGTCGTAGTAGACCTCGAAGTACTGGCCGCCAACAGCGGCGATGGCCGAGGACTGATCCGAGGGGACTGAAACAAAATTTCGCTCAAGCTGTAACAGCTTTCGCCAAAATGGCCACGGAGTATACAATCATTCGACATGAATCGGTGAGTCAATCCCCTGACCGATTCGGTGTTTAAGTGAGATATGAAGTTGTCACTTCGCACAAACAAGTGTGTGCTACACTTCAAGGGCTTAGGGTTGAGGCTGTAGGTTTCAGGGCTGACAAGGTTTATTGGGCTGCTATAGGGACCACAAGCGAGTACTATGTCCAACAATTCCGACCGCCACAGCGGGTCCAGCGCAAGGAGTAAAGCTATCTTCAACTACCAAAGCCCATTTTTGTGCAGCGTCCCTATAGTAAGAACCTACAAACAAGTAGGTTATGCCAGGTTAAGGTGGCGTTTAGGGTTTGTGGTTTCGAGTTTAGGGAAATTTAGGGCTTACAGTGTACCTATCCATGGCAGTTCCTTTTTGGGGGCCTGGCCAAGTCTATTTTTAGGATCCTATAAGGCCATCCAGAGAAGGAACTACAAGTGAGACTCTAAGTAGTAGGTAGAGTCTGAGAGTCTAAGAGTCTAAGGCTTATGGTCAGCGCATGGAAATGATTCTGACCCTTTGGGCGTGGGTCAGTAAGGGACCACCTCAACTCGCGAGATAGGCTGCTAGCACCTATCCGGCAAGCCCCAACCATAAACAGTGAACCCCTGAATTCCTAAAGCCCATCAAACCGTGAAGGCCGAAACCCATACTATCTGTAGCACAGCTGTGGGAGAACTGTCTGTGACGGGGTTAAAGTTAAGATGATAGCAACCGTATGACCACAAAAAACAGCAGCAATAAGACTGAGAGTAATAATGGTAATAGTTAGCGGCACAAAACTATAAGACAGTTTCGTAATCATAACATTACTTATAACAACAGCAAAACACCTGCAACAACACTATGTGTAGTGATAGTGTTAAAGCAGCAAATAACATAGTAATAGCAAGGATAAGTCAAATAATGAACATAGTATTAAACAAAACAACACAAATACTGAGGTCAAAGTTCAATGGCGGCCTTCTACGTGCTTTTTGCAACGAAGTGGCCACAAGGATTGAAGGTGAGAGTCAAGGGTTTTAGATGTCCGATTATCGTTTTCAGGCTTAACTATCACAGTATGACCGGGCTCGCATCTTGACGCTACCAGGTTTTAGCCATCGCAGAACCCCGAACCGGAAGCCATTATTCGGCCTACTTGCTGGTTCTGCACTGCGAATGGACGTCTCAAACACAGCTCCACATCAGAGCTTCTATAGTATAGTGGATCAAAGTACCCTTACAGAAACCTTATAGAACCCGTTATGGACCCCCTGTAAGAAACCCTAAACAGGACTCCCTGGGGCTTGCCACTGCTGTGGGGGATGCGGATCGGCGGCCTCCTGTTCTCCGAACTGGCCAGACTCCTTTGGGCTCATGGAAACAGCATTTCGTAGTACTATTTGGGAGTATTCTAGTATAGAAATATTTTTTAGAGTTCTTTGTTAATGTAAGTACCATAGTTCAGGGCTGGGGGTCGGGGTATCCAGGATGTAAGCAGACAGGTTTGACGAGTGCCGCCTTTAGTGTTAGTTACGTACCTGCCGATCTACCAATCGAAACTGTGACTGTGTGCAGCGGGAAGATTTGTTGCTCATAGGGCATACCAAGGCCCAGGAAGACGTGGAAGTTTCATTACATTACCCTAGAACTATAAGCGTATTACAGTATTATAACAATATAGGATCGGATAGTACTGTAATAGTACTACAAGAATAGACCTTAGGTTTGCGTGCTAGCAGTCGTCGAAGCCAAGAACATGTCGAGGCTCAGGCTCCTAGGATTTGGTGATTACGGCTGAGCCTACGACAATCGATTTTGAGAAGAAGGGCTTTGGATTTCGGTCTTTGCGTGGGATTGGACACCATTCCATCTTTTGTGACGATTCTGGGGTCTCTCGTTGCTGTGATCAGCACCAAATTCCAAGCAGCCAGCCCTTTGCTCTCGCGTCTCTAAGGGCCTTTATCATGGGAACGGGGCTGGGATGGGGAAAGAGTGTGTGTGTGTGTACGTATATATACACACATACAAAATTAAACAGCAATGGTATATAAGGTCAACCCTTCAGACTTTCGAGATCATGCGGTTGCGAGCTTTCTGTTAATGATCTGTTAATGGTTTCGGGCATGAGCTCTGTCCCAGCCCGGCCAAGCTATGTAAAGCTTTGAAATAGGCAGAATGAGGCTCCTTTAAAGGGGGCTACTTTCAGGGTTCTGTGAAGGTCTTACAGAGTCTTCGTTTTAGTATGTTGAAAAGACGACAGTTAAGGCCTAGTGCAAAGCGCTGTGAATAACTCAACAGCTGGGGCTCAGGTTTGGGGATTGCTGGGAGGGTCTGACGAACACGCAACGTCGCAGGACTTGGCATAGGATCCGAGACCCCGAAGGTAATGTAGGGGCCTTAATAACTAGAATAAGGTTTGGGGCCATTATACTACAATTACATTCAGGAACCCACCCCCTCTTCAAAAAAGAATATGCATACATATGTATGGATATATATATAGAGAGAGAGAGAGAGGTAATGATCGAGGACCCAATATATCGGGTTAGCAACCAGCCTTGACTCCCAGAGTGTTTGGAGACTCCCGAAGCTTCCCCAGACTCAGCTACAAAGGCTTCGGGAAATTGAAACCCTAAACCCCCAAACCCTACAGTAGAAGCCAGAAAGCTGGAACATCACTATCCTCATGGCCTTAAAGATAAAGTATACGGGATCCCAGCACTAATCATCCTAAATCCATGATCCAACTTTCGGGGGTTCACTCTAAATCCCAAAAGCACTACACCCCAAACCCCCACGGCCTGCAGGGACTCGTAGTAATTTGGCAACTCGAGCGTGTTGGTGCAGGTGTGGGCCTGTACAGCGCTGCAAGCCTTCAGGGTTTGCTATTATCCTGAAATCGTGCTTTAGGGTAGACCCTGAACCTAAACCCTCTAAACCCTAAACCCTGACCAGAGACCCTAGACCCTTGTGCATTAGGACTCCAAGGAACGAGCCCGAAGACTTCGGAAGTTTGGACCAGGTACTGCTTTCAGGTGCCTGTAGACACACAGACAGAGATGAAGGTCATTGCAGAACCTCGGGGGACCTCATACAATCCACCCTGCCTTGCTCGGCTTTTGAGAAGGTTAGGGTTTAAGGTTGAAGTTTTAGGGCATAGGGTCTGTCTGTTAGTGGGGAGTCAGCGGCAAGTGTGCATATGTCCTACGCTGGTGACACTGGCAAACTCCTTGTGGTCGAACACTTTCGGAACAAGCCCAACACACGACGACGACGACGACGACAAAGACAAAGACCATGACATCAAAGCGACTTCACAAACAACAGCCGCACCACCACCACCACCACCACCACCACCACCGCCACCAACACCACTGAAAGTTACTACTGGTATCGCTAAGTTACAAAGGTAATTGACCACCTTGGTTCAAACACAAAATTACCGGTCTTCTTCCTGCTGCCGGCCCCAACCCCGAATCTCGATCGCTTTACACGACTATCAAAGCTCAGTCCGAACGCCGGATATGTGGGTGGTTGTCAAAATTGGGGGTCCCTTTTGGGGTACCCTAACAAATAGGTGCCGTATTATACTAAGGACCCCAAAAAAGGACCCTAATTCGGACAACCGCCCATGTAGTGGACGGCAGGATGGCCTTAGTTACCCCGACCCCCAATAATAGGGGCAAAGACCCTTGTGAAAGCTGCGAGTCTCAGAAACAAAAAGTAGACCCTGAAAGAGAACGCTAGGATTTAAGGTTTTTGGGTTCGCCCAGGTAATAATATTCAACTATAATGAATAAGGAACCCGCAGAATAGTATTGGTAATTATTATTACGGCCCCTAGATTCGGATTCGGGGTTATTGGGGTTCAGCAGGTATCCATGGTTTTCTGAAACCCAGCCAGCCGACCTCAGGATACCAGGCCAAGCAGTGACATCGGTATGAATCGACAAGTCGCAGTAGAGGTTAGGGTTGGGGTCTAGGGTTTAGAGCTTTAGGGGCTTAGGGTTTGGGGGGGGGCTCGGGTTTACACATTGAGGGCAGTGATTGGCTGTGATGTCAAAACCGGGACAAACCGTCATGCCTAGAACGGCCACGACATGTGTGCAGGACTTCGGAAAGACACCAGACGTAGCCAATCCCTCAAATGTACGTGTCAGACACTCCTACACACTCGATCTACAAACAGACGCTCAATTACAGACAATGACATCCGAAGAAGATATCGTGCCTGCGGCAACTTGCCGAGCATCTCCACGTGCCTCATTCGACTCGTGGAAATGAGACATTGGCGACTCTCTCTCATCTCTCTCCCCGTGCAGCCCTCGTTCCCTTCGACCGCCCTGCCTCTATCATTTATATATGCAAAAGTCACTAAGTAAACTATCACTGCGTATTTGCTCAAAAGCAGACTATGCCGCGATGTCCGTAGCTGAAACTTTGCTCAAATCCGGGCTCTTTGGTTTAGGGTTTACGGAAACGTTTTCGGCGAGCTCGGTCAAAAGGATCGGGTTTGCCGCAATCTTGGCTGTACGGCGCTCCTTTAACTTAACTTGCTGGCACGAGACCCTCGCCGAAAAGACCTGGCCTAGGATTTCATAGTCAGGAAAGGGCGTCATGTGGGGCCTGGGTCGGCAATCCTTCGGTGTGCTGTGATATGCCTCGGGGATTGGAGAGGGCTTCCACTCACGATCTTTCATGGCGCATGAAGGCCCTCTTCGATACTCTCTGCGCACTATCGAAGGCTTATAAAGCCACAGCTCAATCCTCAAACCTCACCTTCACCCTCACTCTTGCTAAAGCATTAGTGGTCCACCGAAAAACCCTTTAACCCGTAAGCCGTGAACCCTAAACGCCTAATCTTAAATCCCAATCCTCGTAGGCCCTACTTCCTAGCTGTATAGCCCCAAAAGAGCCATGCTCCAACAGCAGTCCAACACCTCAGAGAAAAGCTCCCTGAGGTCTGCACTCATCCTTCGTGAAGGCACTGAAAGGCATCTGAACCTGAGAGGTTCAAGGCACCCTCAACCTTATCCCAAAGGCTCCATGTACCTTTCTGGTAGATACTTAACCCTTAAAGGGGTCCCTATATAGGTACTTTAGGGCCTGAGTATATACTCTATGGGCACATGGAGCCTTTGGGTATGTATATACCTGGACCATACAAGTATGTCGAAGAACTGCCTTTGTAGGCCATCGTAGGTGTTGGGCCATTACTTTAACCACTCTTGCTAGGTGCAGGTAAAGGTTTAATTAGGGTTTTTCATGGTTGAGGGATTAGGATTGAGGGTTCAGGGTTTGGGCCCTAAACTCTGAATCCCCGTCTACTGACCGTTTCACGTCAGAAGCTGCGTGCTAGGACGGGACTTGCGTGCCAATGTCTCCCATCGCAGTGTGTAAAGGATTTAGTCATTTGCAACTGGGTTTTGGGTCCATATTACCCAAACAATGTAGGGACTATAAGCGGATGCTGCTAACTACTACTATCTAGCACGACCCCCAACCCATTTCATCATCTTCAAGACAGAACAACTCCTGCATCCCACAACCTCAAACCGATAAGCCCAGAAAGCCGACTCAAATCCTTCAACCTAGACAAAACCCTGATTCTCCAAGCCAAAGAATCGAGCCTAAACCCCAACACCACCCGGCCCCACCCTTCCTAAACCCTAGAATCGAAACCTTCAATCCAAGCTCCACGCCGTGAGCTGCTCTGTCCCAGGCTCCGGAGGAGCCTGGCATCAGGCTTGCTGTGTTGATTTAAAAAAACAATACACCTCCCCAATTCCAGTCACCTCTACCCCCCCAAGGCTCCCAAGGATCCAATAATTAATTAGGTGCTCGGCTTTAGGATAGTAGTTATGTAGTCTAGGAGTTTGGAAAGCACATGAGTATTGGGTACCTGGACCCTTGGGGTACCAGACTCTACTACCTGCACTGCTACTCGTACCAGCTGTTGAGCCGATGGTCCCTCAGGAAAGGAATACTATCGTCTCTGCTTCCAAAGCATGCAGGCTTCCAGGAATTTACTCCAAGTAACATCCAGGGCATGTGTCTTATCCTGAAACCATGAAACCCAAAACTCAAAGCCCTCGCAGCTGTCGAGTCACATTCTGTACGGAATCCCGACTATCCCAAGTTGCTCTCTCGAGACTCCGCGCGTGTCCTCAACACACCCTAGGGACTAAATCCAATGCTCTTAAACCTGACCCCTAAGCCGAAACCATGACTCCAATCTCAGCACTGAGGAGGAGCAATCTGCTGTCAGTAGGGATCTCGGGCTGAGAACTCAGCATATTGAGCGGTTTCGGGTTCGATGTAATGACTTCACAGTCCCCACCGCTCGCACAGTAACATGTTCAACGAAGGCGAAAAAAGTGCAAACGGACAGCTCCCATTGTTGATTGCTCACTTACAGCGACTCGCTTCGCCCTAAACTTGAAAATAGGGCTCAGGGTTTACACCGACCTGTCAGAAAAAAACAAAACCCGAAACAGAAAACCAAACCCTACCTACGCACGAAACCGTAAACATAAAACCCTACATGCCCTAAACCTTACAACAAAAACATAACTCGAAACACTTGACCCTACTAGCCCGAAACGTACAGCCACATAGCCTAACCCCTTAACTTTTTTTAACTTTATGTAAACTCCGGACAAGCACCGTCCAGCCTGCGAAGGCTCCGTCCGGTTTTGGTCTTGCTTTGGTCGTGTCTAGTCCGAAATCCAGGCCCTAAACCCTAAACCCTAAACCCCGAGAGTCTGCCCGAGACCCTCATGCCGAGTACCCTAGTACGCTGAACCCTGAAACCCAAGAAGCCCGAAGCCTTGTGAGGAAAAAGTGATGGGAGGCCAAAAGGGGGGTTTAGGAATTCCTGAATATGAACCCATTATGGGAACCTAATCCCTACGTAACCCCCATAGGCTAAAACCCTCTTGGCCTCCTATGAAAACGTGCCGTCTAGCCCCGTGCCTCAATTCCAGTCACGAAGAGCAAGAAACGCTTCTTGTCCTGAGTTTGCTGTTTGGGGTTCATGGGGCTTAGGGTTTACCTCAAAACCCAACTAACCTACCTTTCTTGAGGACATATACAAAGAAATCATATTAGGGAACCCCAAGAAGTCAGGTTCCTTAGGGTCCAGGTAGGATTCAAGGCTTAGGTTGAGGGTTTATGGGGCGTGGGGTTTAGGGTTTAAGGTTTGATAAGGCTTCGGTTTAGGGCTTAGGGTTTATGAGGCATTGGGTTTAGGGTTTTATAAGGCTTGGGTTTAGGGGTATAGGGCACAGATCTGAGAGATTGCGAGCTTCTCGTTTGGCAGCTCAAGATTAGAGCTGAACTTGGAAGTTTAGGGTTGAGGGTTGAGGGGTTTAGGGGTTTGGGGGTTTAGGGTTGAGGGTTGAGGGGTTTGGGGGTTTGGGGGTTTAGGGTCGAGGGTTTAGGGGTTTAGGGGTTTGGGGGTTAGAATGGAGGGACTAGAGTTGAGGGTTTAGGGGTTTGGGGGTTTGGGGGTTTAGAGTTGAGGGTTTAGGGGTTCAGGGGTCTGGGGGTTTAGGGTCGAGGGTTTAGGGGTTCAGGGGTTTGGGGGTTAGAATGGAGGGACTAGAGTTGAGGGTTTAGGGGTTCAGGGGTTTGGGGGTTTAGAGTTGAGGGTTTAGGGGTTTAGGGGTTTGGGGGTTTAGGGTCGAGGGTTTAGGGGTTCAGGGGTCTGGGGGTTTAGGGTCGAGGGTTTAGGGGTTCAGGGGTTTGGGGGTTAGAATGGAGGGACTAGAGTTGAGGGTTTAGGGGTTTGGGGGTTTGGGGGTTTAGAGTTGAGGGTTTAGGGGTTTAGGGGTTTGGGGGTTTAGAGTTGAGGGTTTAGGGGTTCAGGGGTTTGGGGGTTTAGGGTCGAGGGTTTTGGGGTTCAGGGGTTTGGGGGTTAGAATGGAGGGACTAGAGTTGAGGGTTTAGGGGTTTGGGGGTTTGGGGGTTTAGAGTTGAGGGTTTAGGGGTTCAGGGGTTTGGGGGTTTAGGGTCGAGGGTTTAAGGGTTCAGGGGTTTGGGGGTTTAGGGTCGAGGGTTTTGGGGTTCAGGGGTCTGGGGGTTTAGGGTCGAGGGTTTAGGGGTTCAGGGGTTTGGGGGTTTAGGGTCGAGGGTTTAGGGGTTTGGGGGTTTGGGGGTTTAGAGTTGAGGGTTTAGGGGTTCAGGGGTTTGGGGGTTTAGGGTCGAGGGTTTAGGGGTTCAGGGGTTTGGGGGTTTAGAGTTGAGGGTTGCGGGGTTTGGGGGTTTAGGGTTGAGTCTGAGGGTTGAGGATTGAGGGGCTTAAAGTAGACTCATCCACGTTAGGTGACCAAGCACCTGGCCGAGACCGTACCTATAAGAGGACCATACCAACCCTTCCTTTCAGGGTTACTCACTCTTCTATGTAGCAGATCCTAACAGATCCTACGCATAAAACTAGATTCCCTTGCAGGGGGGCAGGACAACATTTGGGAGTCAGTCTCAGCCCCTAAACCCGGTTCTGTTCAGAGTGTAACGTCATGCAGAAGGGTCCGACTAGCCTTCCCTATGACTCCAAGTCACCGGGTTTAGAGTTTAGGGCCATCGATTCCACAACTGATCCCCACACCCCTGACCCTGAATCCCACCCAAACCCTCAACCCTCAACCCTAAACCCTACCCTCAACTGTAAACCACAACAAACCAGGTTTGGGGTTTAGGAATGCTGAAGGCTTGACGTGGCCCACTCTAGATAATATAAGAATAATAATAATTAGAATAATATATGTTATAACAATAATAAAAAGGTTTCAGGAGAAGAAAAAAGTAGTGCGGATCAGGGAACTCTAGTCAACTTTAAATACTCCCGCGGCATGCCATCCCCAAAACACCATCCTGCTTGTCCAGTCTCCTTGGGAACTAAAGGTTAACCTTTGGGGGTACATTGGAACTATCGTACCCCAAAAAAAAGTTGAAGGTTACCTACTCGACTACTATCTTAACGTACCAAACCCTAGATTTTTGGTTCTTATTATAGACCCTAGTATGGAGTTTATGGAGGCCTTACAAAGATGCAGGTTACGGTAGGTCAAGGTAGGCCATAAAACCCAGGGGCAGCTTTGGAGAGTCCGTCCAGAACCGCGTAGAAGGCCTCTGCGACAGTGCAGCTCTTCGAGTTTAGGCTGTTTAGGGTTTGGGGTGTAAGGGTTGAGGGGTTTAGGGTTTAGGTTTCGGGTTTAGCCTATGGATTGAAACCCTGAGAAGCCTGAACAGGGCTCGGGTTTATGAAGGGCTTAAGGTTTTTACGGGGCCCACTGGGCTTGATACAATCTGCTCTTCTCTGGCCGCTGCGGCACGCCGAGTTTGCCTCGCTGGCGCCCCACTGTGACGAATACGGGCCCGGCTCATGACGAGTCCATATTGCTTGGAGGCCCTTTTGACTTAGTAAGTCTACTTAGTATCCCCCAGAAACCCTATTATAATCCCCATAACTTACCTTACTAACCCTACTTACTAAGTCAAAAGGGCCTCCAAGTGGTCATAGAGTACACCGGACTCAATGCGTTATGTCAGAGGCGTCAACATGTGCCACTACCTAGAGGGTCATACCCTACCCCTTTTTTAGAGTACCTAGTTTTATGGTTAGGAATTAGGATCTCCTATATTGAAAGGTAGGTACCTTAGAAAAGGGCTAGGGTATGAGCCTATAGGTATTTGGATGCAATCCGGAGCAGAGCGGCAGCCGAAAAATCGACGATGGTGCGGGTAAATGGCGCGCGAGACCGCGAATTAGGCCTCCCCTGCAATCTGCAAATACCATGTCTCTTCCACTGGACACACAACTATGCCGGACTCGGTACCTACGGCATATGTTGTATACAGGCAATGTAGGGCTTAATCAGGGTTTAGGGTTGACGGCGTTTGTTTGTTGCGGGGGGTTTAGGGTTGACTTGCACGGCTTCCCGTTTGGGCGTTAAAGGCACGTCCACGCGCGCAGGACGACGACTGATCGAGTCGAGGGGCTGCAGTGTATGGTCGGTATACGAAGAGAGAAGTAGCCCTCTGTAAGCCGAAATCCCAGGTAATGATTCGCATCATCATCATCATCATCATCATCATCATCATCATATTCATAATAATCATAATAGCAATAATAATCTTCATAATGTGGCGTCGAACCCTTCAAAACAGACTCCCTAGATTGGGGGAGTATCTGCCGAAATGCACACTCAGTTACTTCCAGTTACAGTTGATTGGGCGACTTCGAGCCAATGCAGAAGGATGCTACAGAATGCTGATATTCTCTCTTTACAACTATGTGACAATAAATGTATCAGAAATTTGGTTGCAGAACCGGTACATTAAGTGCGGAGATGGGGGAGGTTGGTGGATTTGGGCTTCAAGACCAAATCCGAAAACCTAGATTACGCCCTAGGTGCTGAGCCCAATCCGAAATCCACCAAAAACTTCAAGGACCAAATGACCCTTAAAAGTAGGGGCCCTATACCCATATACTATCAATCCCCCATATATATATATATATATATATGTACATGGTTTATGAACCTTAAATCCTTTTAGGGCTCATTTCGCCCTTAAGGAACTGACTAAACCCTGAACTGAACCGCAAGCCCCGAATGCCAACTCCTAAACCGACGCGCCGGAACTCAAAAATCTAAACCCGAAGCCACTGCGCCTCCAAAGCTCCCCTAAACCCAAATCCCAAACTAACCCCTGAACCCTAAACACTAAACCGCTAAACCCAAATCCCTAACTAACCCCTTATAAACCCTAAACCCCAGAGAAATCCGAAACAAGGCCGCTGCATCGACCAGAGGCTGGCATTCGCTCACATCATCCTCGAACACCACACGGAAGATCTGGCGGAGGCTCATATCCTGGTGCCATGGGGGGGGGGGGGGGGGGGGGGGGGGGGTTTGCTTCTTTTTTTGGGAGGGGGGGGGGTGGTATAGGGGTGCTTTAGGGTTTAGGATGAGGGTTTAAGGTTTCTAGAAGGCTTTGTTTTGTTTTTGGAGGGGGGCGGGGGTTTGCTTTAGGGTTAGGGTGTGGGTCCTGTGTAGGGTTTAGGGGATGAGGGTTTAAGGTTTCTAGTTGCCTGAGTAGCCCCGTTAACAGAAGGTTGACCTTTTTCCTACTATTCGGTTTCAAAATGGCAACGGGGTACTGCTCAGGAACCTGGGTTTAGGCTTTTGGGCCTTCTGGTTTATGGCTCAGGCATGAAGCAGACGTAGGATTTTCGTTCTGACGGGAGGGGGGGTCCAGAAGAAGCCTCATGCCTATGCCATATACCGGCAACGAGCGCCATGTTTTAGTGTCTAGGGTTTAGGAATGAATTAGGGTGAAACCCCATTGAATCCTGCTGCCAATTACTCTGACGCTGACATGACGTTGGATTTCTGGCACAAGCTGCCCATGATTAAGTGCCAGATTATACACCCACCAATTAACAAATGAGCCTCGAATACACTCACCTATTCCCTGACCCCTATAGTAACCCTTTGATGGAGCCCTTCAAAGGACTGCATATCAAAAGCAGCAACCCCTCGCCTCGCGAACCGGCACGGTCGGGCAAACGATCTGGCGGAGCTCTGACCTCCAAGCTGACGTTCAACTGCTCATTTGGGGGTTGCCTTATTTTGGGGTCCTTATATACATATATATATATATATATATATATATGGGTTCCTTTAAAGGGGTACTATAAGGTTCCTTTAAAGAGCTCTATAAGGGTTTAGAGTTTCCGAAAATCCGGGATACCGTATTTTGGAGTCCTTAGAATAAGGATCCTACTATTTAGGGTGCTATATTAGGGTCCCCTACTTTCGGAAACTCCCATTTAAGGTTCATGGTTTACGCTTGGGGAATTGGGTTTCGAGATACGTCTTTAGGGCTGACTCATGGTAATCAGCTTGTGCCAAGATCTCACATGGCTGCTGATATAGTGTTGCACCTCACGGGCCCTGGGTGCACACTACCGTCGAGGAGACAAAGATGAAACACCCGACGTTGAGCCTGAAGCCACATGTGCACGGCAGAGACCATGCAGTGGCTAATAACCCAAGAGTGGGGAACTCAATAACTAGAACAGGGCTTGGGGCAGATTTCAACGTACCCATACAGGTACTACAATGTCATCGTATTAATACGCTTGAGACCGCGCATGGGACTTTCGAAGACTTTCCAGGACCTGAACACCCGATCAAAGTTCTGCTCCCTTTCCCCCTTTCCCTAAACTCTACACCCGATGCCACAAACTCTAAACCCTAAAACCCTGACTGAACCCTTCGACCCCGATACAACCTGGGCCCCTGACGGCGAGACGTCGCGCAGCGCCGAAGCTGGGACCAGCGACCAAAAGCCTCGCCGGACCTGGTTGGCAGGTTACCCGACCCTGCTTCCGGCCCGCTAAGACCCTGAACCTCGCCTCTGTACCCGAAACTCAACCCCAAACCCAGAAGCACAAAACCACAACCCCTAAACCCCAAACCTTAAAGCCCTAACCTCATACCTCTAAACCTTCAACCCCTTAACCCCAAATCCTGAACGCCTTAACCCCTAAACTCCTAAACCCTGAATCCTACGCCCTAAAACAAAGAAAGGCAGGCCTGTACCATGGCCTCGGGGCAGAGGATGGCCTCTGAATCAGCGAAGGCGACAGGTTCTGAGGTTTAGGGTTTAGGGTTTAGGGGCTTAGGGGTTTAGGGTTTAGGGGTTTAGGGATTTAGGGTTTAGGGTTACAGTAAACCCCATAAAGTTGGAAACTGGATTAAGCCCACATAGTGCTGGGATTCCCTATACATTACTCTGGCTATTGGGTTTCCAACTTTGGGGCTCATACTGGACTTGGCTGACTTCTGAACCCCTCCTAAAAGTTAAGCTTTTAGCCACCTTATTATGGCTCAACTATATAAAAACCGAAAAGTTAAATCCTAAGAGCCAACCGAAGAACGCCAAGATTATATATAGGGTTTGGTAAGGCTTGGGAGTTGGGAGTAAAGGCTTTGGTTGTAGGGCTTAGGGTTTAGGGTTTCTTTTGGAGGAATTCAGAGAGATCTTCTCAGGGTTCACTGCGGGAGGGCTCAGGGGTTTGAGGCTAGTTCGGGCTCACGACCATTAAAGGGGTGGTTGTCAAAATTATGGTCCCTTCTAGGGACCTTACTATAATACGGCACCTAATATTTAGGGTGCCTAAAAAGGGACCCTAATTTTGACAATTACCAAAATCGAGGTTTAGCCTCCCCCAGCATAGACCAAAAGGTTGGGTGGGAGGACCGGTATTACATAGAAGGATCCTAGGCAAGCAGAATTTTAAGAGCCCCCCGAGAAACCGTCTATAGCCCTAAAACACCAATAACACCATGTTAAACCACACGACTCTTATAAAACCTGACGGCCATGAAAAAACCCGCATGACACCCTTTATTAAGGGATGCTGAGACTTAGGAACTATAACTCCCAAACATTGCTTCATAGCCCCTGTTTACTACGCCCCACGACCCTTTAAGCACACTCGAAGCCCCAACCCCCCCGCCCAATAGAACCCTAACTGCCCAGAGGCTCCACAGTACGTAGTTCCTTTTGGGGGTTACCTTATAGGACTCTATATATGAGCCGCAAAAAGGAACTACTTTGGAGCCTTGGGGTACTTACCAAGTCCCATGATCCTTTAGGTGTGGAGAACGCTCTTGTGTTCTTCTTTGCGCTCGGAGCTTTGGTCCACCTCTCCCTTGTTGGTTAAGCAAGTATACTGAACTTAGAACCCTAGCAAAAATTACAATTCTATCTGTTTATTAGGGATTATAATAACCAAAAATAAAAAATATTTCTAAGTACCCCTAAGAAGAGGCTGCCTAACGTCTGCTTCTTCCTCGAAAACCATCACCGGCTCACTGTGACTCACTCGTGGTTAAAACCGTTGAGTCTTTGGTTGATTATTATGCCGCTCCTGATGGTGATGGCGATGACCCGTATCGTCATCATGAGTATCATCATCATCATCATCACGAGCACCACAGCCATCAGCATAATGATGATAATTGTCCCTCACTGTGGCTTGGTCTCGTACGCGCCTTGCACGTTGCTGGTATTTATGGCAAAAGACTCGCGGCTTGTAGATGCTGTAAGAAAATCATGATAAACCTGTATCATTAATGTGGGGGTCCTTATGTCGTGCGGTCCCATACCTATAGTCTTTGAGCAACCGTTTCTCGAAGTAACTACGCATGGTGCATCTACTCAATCGATTTATGTCTTCAGTCCTAAGGCCCTATTTAGCATCCTTGTTTTAATATCCTAAGCCCCAAGCCCTGGACCTAACCCACGAAACCCTAAAATTGCATTGTAAGTCCTAAACCACAAGGCCCTAAAACACTCTACCCTAAATTGTATTGTAAGTTCCAAACCACAACGCCCTAAACCACAAGCGTGTTTTTCGAAAAAACTGTATTGTAAGTTCTAAAACACAAAGCCCTAAACCACAAGCCCTCAAAGCGAAACCCGATAGCTGCCTTCACCTGCTCGGTGACATAGTCATCCCGAGTGAGATCCTAGTAGAATGTAGGGTTTCTGTATTAGGAATTACTATTATGATTCGGGGAAGTTGTCCCCATAACAGTACCTAGGACCCTTTGGGTTTAAGACTTTGATTTGAGGTCCCTCTATGGTCCGCTAGAGGGTTCTGGGACTTCGGGTTTAGGGTTTAAGGGTTTGGGTTTTTGATTTAGGGTTAAAGGGTTGCCAACAAGTCCGATGGCTGTCCAAATGTCCGACATGCTGCGTGCGATGTAGGGTGTTGGGGTTTTGCGATGCGGGTTTAGGGCTTGAGTTGTTGCTTTGTTTTATGGGCTTGAGGTTTAGGGTTTAAGGTTTGGGGACTTGGGTTCATAGGGTGTTAGAGTTTGGGATGCGAGTTCAGGATGTTTATGGGTTTGGGATTGTTGGCTATGGGTTCTAGGTTAGAGAATAGGGTTCTTTAGAGTTTCATAGCAAGACCTCAGCTACAGCAGTGTTTAGGAGTAGATGGCGGCAGGAATTTGGGATTGTGGCTTGAGGATTTTGATTCGGGGCTTGGAAGGGCAAGCCTCGAAACCTCGTAGTCTGTATAAAAACCTTACAAACCTATCAAGAGAACCATGTAAACCTACGTGCAACACGTCTCTATCTACACATAAGAGGAAGCTTTGTTAACGACCAGCGCAAAAGTTCGCCAACGCAAGCGTTCCAAGCTGCAGTGAGATTGCTTAACTTCATAAACACTTAAACCCTAAAACGCAAAAGCCCTACAGCACCAACCCTAGAAAAACCTTATAGCACCCTGTACAAACAGTATAGAAACCTGACATGGCCCTTTGGAGAAACCATTTGCGCACCCTAAACCCCAAAAGAACCAAACTTCAAACCCAGAGCCCTGAAGCCCTAAACCCCAAACCCTAAACCCTAAACCCAAAACCCCAAACCCTAGACCCTAAACCCTCCAAACCCTAAACCCTAAACCCTAAACTCTAAACCCCAAACCCTAAACCCTAAAAGGCCCTAAACCCTAAACCCTAAACCCCAAAAGGCCCTAAAGGCCCTTCAGGCCCTTAAGGAGCCCCAACGCCCAGAAGTCCTCCGAGAGGCCTTCGAGATCCTAGCGATTCTGGGGCTCGGGCGTAGGGCTTTCTGGGAGCTTTAAGGACCAGGGCTTCAGGGCCTTTTGGGGTTTAGGGTTTAGGGTTTAGGGTTTAGGGTTTAGGGTTTGGGGTTTAGGGTTTAGGGTTTTGGGTTTAGGGTTTAGGGTTTAGGGTTTTGGGTTTAGGGTTTTCTGGTAGCTTTAAGGACTACTTGGAGGGTCGGGGGACTTAGTAACTATAAGGGGTTCCTTAAGGGCCCCTTTAAAAAAGGGATCTAAAGGGGTTCTATACGGGTTTAGGGTTTAGGGTATACTTGGAGGGTCGGGGGACTTAGTAACTGGTTATTCTAGGGACTTATAAGTACCATAACCCCAATTAGGGTCCCTTTTAGGGTACTTATAAGTCTACTTCCTACCTACTTACTAAGTCCCCCGACCCTCCAAGTAGGGCTTCAGGGCTTCTAAGTCGCTGAGTTCATAAGCCCCCCCAAAAAAGTGTACACGTTTAGTAGCATAGTGGGTAATATTATCCCAAGAAGTGTAAAGTGCATCCACTCAGCTACTGAGCTGTAGAACTTTAGAACTTTGGGATTTCAGCCTTCAGGGCTCTACCCAGAGACTCCAATATCCCTTAATTAAGGAATCTACCTTAAATTATAGTAGGATCCTTAATAGGATTTAAGGTATATTCCTTAATTAAGGGACAGGGGGGTCTCTGGGTAGGGCGTTTGTGGTCTGAGGGCGTATGACTAGGATGCCCAGTAACCTGGGAATAAGAAGGGCTCCCTTTTGGGTAACTTGATAAGGAACCTAGGACTACAAAAAGGGAATAAGGGCACTGCTGGGCATCCTGGATGAGTTTAGTGAGGCTCTGGGCTCAGAGGTTTGACACGGCTCAAGCGGTGTAGGAGCTGCAACTTCAGCGCTTTTGGGGGTTTGACATCTGGGAGTTTCCGAAAATAGGGGACCCTAATATAGTACCCTAAATAGTATCACCATTATTATAAGGACCCCAAAATAAGGTACCCCTGAATTTTCCGAAGCTCTCCTCTGGCTTCAGAGGGCTGTGGGCTCTAGGGTTGGGCTTAGGGCTCAAGGTCTGAACTGTGATTAAGTAATGAGGGTTTAGGGTTTAGGGTTGAGGGGTTAGGGTTTATCGGTCTGGGGTTTAGAGTTCAGGGTTTATAGGGTTTAGGGGTTATAGGGTTTAGGGCTTATAGGGTTTAGGGTTCAGGGTTTATAGGGCTTAGGGGTTATAGGGTTTAGGGTTCATAGGGTTTAGGGGTTAGGGTTATAGGGCTTCGGGGATTTAACAGTCTGTAATTCGTGTGTTTGAGGCCTAGGAGGGTTGGAGTTTTCAGCGGTTGGCCGCGTGCTTTGATTCTGGTGACGGGCGGCCTTGTTTGGTGCACAAGACGGTTTGGGGTTGGACTCTCTGGTAAATCCCCGTGAACTCATGCCCGCCATGTAAGCCCGCTGTTGAATAAGGGGATGTAAGAGCAAGATCCCCCACAGGACTTACTGTCCCAATAAGCCACAGAAAAAAAAGGTGAAACTTTCCGATCCCTGCTAAACTATATAACCCAAAAAGTTTAAAGGTTAGGTATTGGGGATCTAAGAGGAGCAAGAGCACGAGCAAGGAGCCGCAGCTGGAGGTTGAACACTAATCCCTAATAGGAATCGAGCCTCATAGAAACCCTCTATATCTCCGGTAAATACCCTACGGCTGATGCTATCAATCCTGCATTACCTTTAAGGACCCTAAACTATGGGAATTATGGTATATTCCTTATTATGGGTAACATGCAGGATTTATATCATCAACAGTAGGACCGCTCCTACATATGGGAGTTTCTGAAAATAGGGGTACCTTATTTGGGGGTCCTTTCTACAAGGATCTGACTATTCAGGGTACATTAGGGTACTAAATTGGGGTCCCCTATTTTCGGAAACCCCCATATTACTGCCCACGAACCACCAAGCAGGGCGTGTTTGGCTCCACCCTCGCCTTAAGGTTTAGGGTTTTCGCTTTTTCGGGTCTCAAACCATAAACCTGAACGCGAGCCAGCCCAACCCGAAACTTCTAAACCCCCAAGCCGCAAACCCCTAAAACCCTAAACCCAAACTCTAAACCCGAAAACCTTGACAGACCCGCCTTGATCTGCTTAAACTGCGCAGGCTTCATCTTCAGAAACTTCCTGGCGACCGCGGAGTAGAAGCCCAGCTTCTCAAAGGATGCAGTTTCCAAACATCAACCAATTCCCTAAGGCTCAACACAGCCCAAAAGCCTTATATAGTATGGTCTTTGAGCCCAAAAGCCTTAAAAGATGAGTCCTTAGAACCTAAGGGATTTAAAGATATGCATTTAGGGTGCAGCGGCCTGCGTCTGGGCCCAAGAACAGTAGCCGACGCTGTAAATACGATGCCAGATCGGTTCGCACGTAATACGTAAGGACATACATACAATGCTCCATACATGCATGCATGTATACATGATTACATGTATGAATACATGCATGCATGCATGCATGCATACATACATGGTTTCCTACGTACATAGTAGGTAAACATTTCAGGTCATATGCATAGATGTTCGCACAACCTTTAAACGTATGAGTCTTCCTATCTACCTACTTACCTATCTACCTACCCCAACTTGCCTACCTACGCGCGTACATGCGTGCCACGTACATGCACAGGCATAGATGCAGGTGTCACACACACATAACACAACCAACATGCATGCATGCATGCATGCATGCCTACAGAAGATGACAGCCCTACTGAATTCATACCCGCAGTTTATTTTGCCGGCTCAGGCTCTAGGATTTACCGGTTCAAGGGTTAAGAGTTTGGGTTGAGGCTGCTGGGGGTTCAGGTGCTTTAGGTCATTCCTGCAACTACTACAGAATCTCCAATGTTTTCGTAAAGCCCTACCAGACTCCACGGTGTCAAATACCCTCAACCCTAAACCCCGAAACCCCTAAACCCTAAACTCCCCTAAGCCCCTAAACCCCTGAGCCCTAAACTCCCCTAAACCACTAAGGCCTAAACCCTTAAAGCCCAAAAGCCAAGGGTCCTATGTATCGATATAGCAGAATGTAGGGTTTCCATACTAGGAATTACCATTATGATTTAGGGAAGTATCCCCCATAACAGTACAAAGGACCCTTAGGGAAAGCCTAGACTCCTGGGATGCCAGCCTGAGCGACGTGTGGAGCGCGTTGTCGAAGCCCTTGAGGTCGTCGAGCCCGGCTTCACGGTCGATGTTCCTGCAGAAAAATTAGTTAAGGGTTTCATAGGACCCAGGGTTAAAAAACTAAATATGTATATATATATATATATATATATATATGTAATGTAATGTAATGTAATATGATATATATATATATATATATATATATATATAGATATATATATATATACACACATATATATATATATATATTGGGAGGGATGTTTAGCGTTTAGGGGTATAGTATCTTGGTGGTTGTGGTCGTAGGATCTGACTTGGGGAGTCTAGGGCCTGGACTTCCCAAAATGTCTCAACAGGTTAGAAGCTGCCCCCACCCTGTGATAGTGACTATAAGGATAATATTGGGGCCCTATTATATTCCTATTATACCACTATTACAGGGTGGGGGCCCCTTCTAATCGATAGGTCTTGTCACTTGTCCAGAACCAGGGGTCGATCAAGGCACTGCTAAACCCACAAACCCAAAGCACAACACCCAAAACACTAAACTCTAAACACTAGAACGCCCCACAAGCCTGCAAAGGCTTTTGTTATTGTGTTGACGTTCTTGATTTCTGTGTCCTTCTAGTTCATTGTTGGGATAGGATTTTAAAATATTCATTTTTATTACTTCTTGGGTTTATATAAGTACCCATAAAAATCTGAAATGTTACCCAACTATGACACAGCCTTGAGGAGCTGGGTTTGGCTTTCGGCTTGGAAGCTCAAAATGGCCGGTTCCGGCTTCGGGGTTTCGAGTTTGGATTAACTTTTGGATTTAGGATTTCGGATTATAGGGGTTTAGGGCCTGAGGGGCCTAGGGCCTAGGGGGGTTTGCATGGGGTTTGAGGTTTAGGGTTTCTGGTGGGGGCCTGGGGTTTGAGGTAGTTTTTGGTTTAGGGCCTGGGATTTAAGGGTTCAGGGCGAGGCTCCGTGGCATGGGGTGGGAGCTTACCAGCATTTGTACACGATAGCGTACGTTCATAGTGTTGATGATATAAATCCTGCACTACCTTGAGGACCCTAAACTATGGGAATTATGGTATACTCATATACTCCTTATTATGGGTAATGCAGGATTTATTTATATCATCAACCGTATGGGAGTTTCGAAACATCAGCCCTGATCCTAAACCCGAAACCCTACCTTAACCTACAAGAACCTACTTTTTGTAGGGTCCCTATACATTCCATATTAGGATTTATAATTTACAATGCGAACCTACAAAAAAGCAGGGTTTGGTAGGTTAAGGTAGGCCCCAAACCCGAAACCCTGTACCTAGGATCCCTGGGGATTAGCGTACTCCAAATTCTTGAGGCTGGAGTCGGCACTCTTCGGCTTGAAAGTATGAGTCGGAGGGCCAAATCCCGAGGTTTTTCGCATGACTATTCAAGGGCTCTAATTAGGGACCCAAAAAGCACATAAGCATAAGCATTTTATGGGGATACCCCTACCTTATTGGGCTTCATTATAAGGGGTTCATATGTGATATCCCTATCACTGTTTTTGCTTATGTGCTTTTTGGGGGCCCTATCTAAGGGATACTACTAGTTAGTTGTAGCATGGCTAAATACGGACATACACGGACCATCAGCGGTGACGGTTTCAAAGTATTCATGCCTGTATGCTATCGTATCCCACCCCTACTTTCCATAAATATGATACGGAACCCCCAAAATAGCATAGGTAATTATTAAGGCCCCTATATTAAACCCCAGGCCCTAAAACAACAGCAGCCGAGGCACAGAAGAAACTGGAAGAAGAGCACCGGCAGCCTGTGATTAGATGCCAGAAGGGGCTTTTGAGATTGTAGGGTTATAAGTAAATAAATGTAAACATATATATATATATATATCTAAGGGATAAGGATGGGGGCTCCGTTAGCAGAGGCCTTTGGATATCGGGCGTAGGCTTTGGGGCTTAGGGTTCACGACTTTGACTTCATGATGTGGATCCTATTTCGCTGAAACCCCTCCTACGAACTTATTGCTTTCGGGTGTTCGGGCTGTCGGTAAAAGGCGTCAGGGGCTAGGGCTCCGGTAGGATGTTTTCGAAGTTTTCAGCTTGTCTAGAGAGGACTGCAAGGGTGAGCATATTGTGGTTGAGGATTTTGGGAGTAGTGGCTTTTGGGGTCCAGTGTTAGGCTTTGCCTTATGGGCTCGCTTACCAAATTGCCTTTCTTGTGAAGGTTCACAGTTCTGGGCCCAGGGTTGAATAGGACATAGAATTCAGCGTCAGAGTTTAGGGTTTAGGGTTCCCGTAGAGTCGCACATGTTGTGTTTCGGGCTTAGGCTGGGCCCAGGGATGGTGGGTTGAAAGACGCGAGAAGCCGCGAGAAAGTTTCCACCAGGGTGTCAAGGATATAGAACTCGGGGTCAGGGTGGACTGGAGGAACTCAACGGCTTCAAGGTGCGTTCGACGAGAAGAGGAGTTCCCGGCAAGAGGACGAGGCACGTATTCTGGAGTTCATGGATGCAGGGTCTATAGGGTTTCCGGGTTTAGAAAACCCAAACGGCCACAAAGACCTAAACACCCAAATTAACAAAAGCACTTGGGCCCCTGCGCGAAGGCCAGTTTGCAGTGATTGGCCACAGCCAGCGCTAGGAGCTTGCCGAAGGCGTTGTAGCGCACTGTGGCAAGCGGGAGGACGGGAGCAATCCTACACCATGAAGTTGGAACCCTACACCCTAAACCTGGGACTTAAAGAAATTCAGGTGCCTTGATATGTCGAATAAAGGTTCTTATAGGGTTTCGTACCGTCAACCACAAAGGTATGAACCCCCAAAAACCTAAAGTACGCCACGGAATCCAAATCCAGCGGGTGGGATTTGAAAGTTTAGGGTTTAGGATTTGGGGTCTGCCTACACCCCCCAACTACCCTCTAATATACCCCAAATACCCACTATTAAGGGCCATCAGGACTCCATTAAAGGGCCATCAGGGGGTCCTGGTGTTTAGGTGGGGTGGGTCGTGAGGTCGACAGCTTTCCCAAAGGTCCTATATGTACCGATATAGTAGACTGTAGGGTTTCCATATTAGGAATTACTATTATGACTTAGGGAAGTATCCCCCATAACAGTGCATAGGACCCTTTGGGTTAGGACTCTACAGCCCAAGACTGCTGAGCCATGCATCTCCCGGCTCGGACGCAATGAGTGTAGGGGGATGCTACTACGTACTGAAATAACAAGATGCAAATAAAGCAATCACAGAACTAATATTACGAAGTAGTGATTCTTGACTATCCATATAAAAAAATACGAAGATTGAACACAGTGAAAAGCAAAATAGCAATAACAATACTACTAGTAGTAGTGGTCCTTTGTACCTGTTATCGTAGCAAAACACTGGAGAGCGAGAGTCATCTCTGTTCCTGAATAGGCCCATTATAACAAGGCAACAGAGGTACCCTTTTTCCTACTACTCCGTTTTCAGAAGGGAACCCAAAAATTAAAAAAAAAAAAAAAAAAAACAAAGAGTACAACTCAGGAACCTAGGAGTCATAGAGGGTGGAGCTCCCTGCTTGAAGACTCAAAGGACACAGACTGAAAGGTGTGCTTGGAGATTAGGCTTTGGGCTTTAGCGCGCGCACAGACATTCAGAGTTTGGGGTTTAGGGTTCGGTGGTTCGGGTTTAGGGTTCTAGTCGTTAGGCCTGTGATGGCCTGTACCACAATCGACTGGTACCCAAGCCGGAGGCAGCCGCTAGGAAGAAGCATCAACACATTTTGGCATGGTGAGTTTAAACATCTAATGCCTCGCCCTGATTGCTGAAACGTACCACGAAGCCCCAAAACCCTATTCTAATTATGAAGGCCCCTATATGTATTAGAGTACCCTTATAGACCCCTTATAATTTAATTTCAATTCTGAGACTCAGAGGGCCTGTGAGAGCTTGGCCCCGTGGCCCAGCATTGAGCTCATTCGAGTGGGAAGTAAACCACTGCTGTCCTGTTGCGGCTTTTGAATTCGAGGGTTCGGTGTCTCCTGGGGGTACCCATAGGCCCCAAAGTAGTTCCTTTTTGGGATTACCAAATAGGATTCTAAGTATGAACCCCAAAGAGGAACTACTTTAGGGCCTTAGGGTAAACTCGAAATCTATACGCCTCGGCCCATGCCCTGAACCCTCAACCGAAACCCTAAATCCAAAAGCCTAAACCTTGCTGCGGCCCTAACCCTCGAGCCCAGACCTCGGACGTTAACCCTGCAGCCTTTTTAGGTTCTTCCCAGAGACTCCAATATCCCGCAATTAAGGAATATACCTTAAAATATAGTAGGATCCTTGATATGATTTAAGGTATATTCCTTAATTAAGGGATATTGGAGTCTCTGGGTTTGCCTCTCTACATGACCTTGCAAGGTCTTCAGGATGCATAAGCCCAGGGCCTCTCAAGCTTGTCACGGTAGTACGCCAGGCACATACGTCACTGCTAAAGCCCGTCCCGAAAAAGCAGGAAAATAAAACACAATATGGATCTTCATTGCATGCGGTGCTTTCTTTAAGAAGCCCTAAGCCCTAAACCCAAAGCCCTAAACCCTATACCCATCTAATGCAACCCACCTTCAACCTTGTGGCTAGTAACACTATTCAATTCGACGAACTGGCAGCAATGCCAAGGGAAGAAAACAAATGGTTTGAGGCTTAGGGTTTTGGGTTTTGGGTCTAAGGTCCCCCCGAACCAAGCCTTAACAGTAATCTCGCAGCCCCACAGGCCTAGTTGGTGTTATCCGCATTTGACGTGCAATGGTAGCAAAACACGCCCGAAGCCCCACCTAACATATCCCAACTGTTCAGATTGGGCCCTGAGCCAGACCCCTCTGTGCCCGTAAACCCTATAGAACCTAAGCTCAATCTTGAAACACTCCACCTGTGCCACGGTGGAACTCGAAAAGGGGAAGAACAGGGCTCTGTAGTTCACACCTCGCGAGACAGAGGTATGGTAACGCAGAGGGCTCAATACAGCAGAACTCTTTCAGGGGTTTTGCAGGGTTGCGAAAAAGTCTTACAGGTGTAAAAAGCCTCCATATTAGCGAAAGGGCTTCGGGATATTGTGGTAGCACCAATACGGGGATATAGGATACTGTTAATCATTCTTCCGACCCCCTTATTCGGCTTCTTGTCCCTCGGGTTTAGGCTCATGCTTCGGTTCCGTGAATGGCTTGCAAGCCTGGGTTTAGGCTTAGCCGGCGGAAGGCCTACTGTAAAGTCTCTCCCAAACCCAAACCCTAAGGGTCCATGTACCCAAATAGTATATACTTTGGGCCCAATGTACCCATATAGGGAGTACTTTAAGGCCAAAGTATATACTATTTGGGTACATGGACCCTTAGGGAAAGGGTCCAAAGCACCTATATTATGTAGCAGAATGTCAGGTCTTTTACATTATAGGAATTGCTATTAAGACTTGGGGACGTATCCCTCATAACAGTGCCTAGGACCCTTTGGGGGTCTGCGGATCGCTGATCAACTCGCAGAAATAAGCAGAATATGCGGACCCTCTTAGAATGCCGGTTTAAGGTTTAGGGTTTAGGGTTTAGGGAAGCAAGACAAGCTGTGCACATATGGGCAGCTCTTAGGACCCTTCTCATAAGACTGCGGTACCCGTCGAGGGACCTAAACAGGGACCCCAGTTAAGAAAACTGCCCTTCTAGAACCCTTATAGAAACCCTACAGAAACCCTTATAGATCCTTTCAGGAGCGCGGAAAAGGGACTTTAACTTAGAGATCTACAAACATCTTCACTGCTCTGCGGCACAACAAGGGCATGTTTAGAGGTTAGGAACTTCTCGACAAAAAACAGATCCCTTCGGCCTTTAATGGAACCCTCAATAGCCCCTCTGTAGGTCTGTAAGGTTCGGGCCGTAGAGGAACCCTTAAAGGAACCCTTACAGTAACCGCTTAAAAGCACTCTTCTCCGAACCCTTACAGGAATCCTTACAGGAACCCTTACTTTGAACACTGAATCCTAAACCCTAAACGCTAAAGGAGCCCTTGCCCTAAACCCTAAACCCTCAAGGAACCCTTACCCTAAACCCTAAAGGAGCCCTTACCCTAAACCTTCAAGGAACCCTTACCCTAAACCCTAAAGGAACCCTTCAAGGAACCCTTACCCTAAACCCTAAAGGAACCCTTAAAGGAACCCTTACCCGAAACCCTAAAGGAACCCTTTAAAGGAACCCCGAACTCCCCTTGTTTCTCAGACCTCAAGATCCGGCGAAGCCTCTGGAGACGTCTCTCTGCGAGATGCTCCTCCGGGGGGGTTCGTGGCTGTTTGATCCGTCTTTCAAATTTTAAGCTTAGGGGTTCAAGGAGGTTTAGGGGTTTAGGGTTGAGGGTTCAGGGGTTTAAGGTTTAGGGTTTAGGGTATAAGGTTTGGGGTTTAGGGGGTTTCCTTTAGAGGCCCTTGAAGATCTGAAGTTCATGCAGCCCAACAAAAACTCAAACTAAACTGGAAGCCCAAGGCCATGTAAGCCCCAAATCCTGAACCGTGACCCCTCGACCCTGAGCGCTACAACTTCGCCTTCTACTCCCATGGTCTAGGATTTTGCAGGACAGGGGGCGTGTACGGCTTACCTATAGTCTCCCTTGTAGTTCTTTTTTTGGTTTAGCCAGTTATATATTAAGGATCCTATAAGGTAACCCCAAAAAGGAACTACAATGGAGACTATAGGTCGGGCTCGGAGTTTAGGGTTTAGGAGTTTAGGGTTTAGGGAACACCTTTTGTAGCACCCAGCCGATGCACGAGGCCATTCAACTGAAATCAGCACGCATGAATCCCTGAAGCCCAAAACAAAAAGCAAAGCCCTAACCACAGCCCTTGCCGAAATCCCGAAGCCTAGACCGCAAGATCAAATAATGGGGAGTTCTCAGTAGAGATTTAGGAACCGACATATGTGGGGTTAGGAACAGACGCAGCTAGAGTTCAAGCCGTGCTATGCTCCTTGATCCTGTAAGCTTTAAGCTTTAAGTGTTCGGAACCCTGCATGCCACGCCCCAAACCCCAAGCCCTGAGCCTACACCGCGAGCGTAGCTGGGCCGAAGCCTTTGACTTTGACCCAAACCCGTACAGCCCAGAACTGAACCCCCCAGAGATTCCAACATCCTTTCGCATATCTCCTAAAGTAGCCTTAACCTGACAGGACCTCGGGCCCAACCCGAAACTTAGGGTTTAACTCGGGTTTGGGAATCAGGGTTTTCGGTTGGACCTCGAACCTGAACCCTACACCCACAAGTGCCTTCAAAACCCTTGTTTCTGACATCTCCCCTAAAACCTAAACCCTGAACTCTAGAAGCCCTAAACCCCTAAAACCCCTAAAACCCCTAAACCCTACAGATCCCTTATAGATTCCTTTAACGGAACCCCTATAGATCCCTTTAAGGAACCCGAAACTCTTTGGAACTCACCGTTGCCTCGAAAGCTTTGTCCACCGTAAGCGAAGATCCGCCGCTCGGCATAGGTAATCTGCCTGTAACCTCAGTGTGTAGGGTTTATTTTTTTTTTGAGCTCAACGGGTTCAATTCAAGGGTCCGAGAAGGGATTGGAATTTTGGGTTTAGGGCTCTTGGGGTTTAGGGCTTTTGGGATTCAGAGTTTAGTGTTTAAGGCTTGGGGTGTGTGACACTCACTTTGAGGATGTCGGGTTTGCAAAGACTTGATGGTTTACATCAGATGCTTCTTGGACATACAAGTTTGGGAAAGACCCGTGGGCTCGTCGACGTTGGCTCGGGGCTAGTTGAGGAAGGAACCCCAAACCCCGGGCTAGAAACAATGCCTTAGATATCTGAAATCCAATGATTAATTTAAAGCTTATTCCACAAATTGTTTCCAAACCTGACAACGACCAAACCCTGAGCTCAAAGACCTGTACCTTACATGCCGCACCTTCTTCTTCCATCTACTGTGGGCTTATGAAATACAGTAATTGTGTGATGTCCAGTTCGGAGCCTTACTGCCCAACCAACTTACCAACTCTACCCCAACCCTAAAATCCTAGAAACTTACATACCAAACCCTAACTAAACTGACGAAAAAGAGAAACACACACCTTCAACGCCGAGACTGCAAGGCCTGCAGCCTGTACACCACCGCAGCAGAGAAACCTGGTAGTCCACTTCACTCCGGAAACCGCTACGTCGACTCCCTCTCTCTGACTCAAACGGTTTAGGGTTTAGGGTTTAGGGTTTAGGGTTTAGGGTTAACCTCTATGCAACGATATGATCTTCAATTGTTAGTCTGCCAACAGATCCATAGGAGCCCCACACACACTCACCACAGCTCACCCTACACCCCAAACTAAAATCCTTGATCTGATCAACACCTGAGCCGCAATCCCAACATCTCTGGATCTGAGCCAGGCGCGATGCACTCACACTCGTGTTTGTCGCTGAAAACCAGCCTCAGACGCTAGCTTAAGAAAGAGGGTTGCTTTCTAGGGAAAGCTATGGAGTTGTACATTGTGATCAAACGGTTTCTTTGGCCTTTCGCCTTGGGGTGCCAGGGGCTCTACACTTCAGAGTTCTCGGCTTTGTTTATGGGTGTAGGGTTTAGGGGTTGGGTTTAGGGTTTAGGGTTCGTATCATTGTTGATCGTCGAACCAATGTACCTACTGTATCTTCGACCCCCTTACCCGATACTTAGATTTCGCCAATACATTAACATATAACATCTTGTAACTCGAGCATTAACCGCACACCCTACAAGCCAAACCCTAATTCTGAACAACAGCCCTAAAACCCCAAGCCGCACATACTGTGAACCCAAGGCCGTAGGCCCTACCAAAATCCCAAAGCCCTCAACTGAAGGCCTGTGCTCGATGTCGCTTCAGGAAGGTTCTTGGGTCCGGGGCGATTGGGGAACAGTCTTAGGCTTAAACCCCACCGGCACAGCAAGCCCCCTGAATTAAAGGTTTAGGGTTTAGGGTCTAGGGTTTAGGGTGCAGCTTTTAAGATTGAGGACATGCCGGACTCTTGAAGCCAAGCACTAGCTAGGACTTAGGAGTTTGCACCTGGGGTGGTCCAGGGTATGGAGTACGTCTATACATCGAGGAGTACCTTGAAGGCAAACTAGCACCTCGAATGCCACATAGACGTCGGAACACACAAACATCTCGGACAAAATATTTCTAGACTGGCACTTCGATTCAGTTCTCTAGCGTGCACGGCGCCAAAGCACTCCCGCTTGCACTCCTTGGAATCCCACCGGAGACGGTCGCCATTTCCGGCAGCCAAGAGAAGCTGTTGCAACGGAGAGAAGGGTGCCTCACAAGGCAGGGCAGGGCGGTTCTTAGCGGGCATAACACTAGGATACGATTATGGTACTGTACCAGTATGCTATTACAGTACTCAATTGTAGTACCATACAATATAGACTAAAGAAACTATTGGACTCCCGGGGACATGCTTTCTGTTCTGCGTCTTCTGCTTGCAAAAAAGGTTTGATGCAACCGGCCTGGTTGATGGCAAGTTGTTGACGGCTGAAATACCACGACAAGCGGACTTTCAGACGCACATGAGTGACGCACATTCCTCCTTAAGGACGACATGAACCCTAAAGGGGTTTAAGGTTCATATACCATATAGGGATTCATAGTATATGGGTATATAGGGCCCCCATTTTTAAGGTCCATTTGGTCCTTCAGGTTGCATTGAGGACCCTAAAATTTCTATTCTAGGATCCTAACCATAAAATTGGTTCACCCAAAATCAGAACTATCATGGAAACTCTAGGTCGGGTTTAACAGGCTTGCCAAGAGCCGTCGTCAGAGCTGGTGTTGAGGAGTTTAGGGCTTCGGGTTTTAGGGCTGAGGTTTTTTAGGGCTTAGGGTGTTGAGGGCTTGCGGATTTAGGGCTTAAAGGCTTAGGGTTTAAAGGGTGGTGTATTCCGCAAGTCTGTAACTCCGCAGCAGAAGTAGTATTGTGCGGATTCCGCAGCACTTTACATTCGAGCTTGCCCTCATCCCTGTTACTAAGAAGTACTGGAAAGGGTTTTGGCTTTAGGGGAGGTTCACTCTTCTGGGCGCCCATGCCGAAGAGGACAATAGTCTGGAGGACCCACCCCCTTTTCTAGTTCATTGTTGGGGTCAGCCTGGCCATTGAATTGAACTAAATTGAATTGGGATAGGATTAAAAAATGTACATGTTTATTCCTTGTTGGTTAGAAGAGGCCCCACCCTATAATAGTGACTATAAAGACTACATTAGGGCCCTGTTCAAGTCTAGTTCATTGTTGGGATAGGATGAAAAATCTAGGAGGTGCTTTCAAAGCCTTTGACAAATGTTAGTAGGTAAGATCCTCTTAAGCCCAATAAGAGCCAATATAAAAATGCCCCAAAGCCCTACCTATAAATGTACATGTTTATTCCTTATTGGGTTTAAGTACCCATAAACATGTAAAATGTTACCCAACTATGACAAAGTATTCACAGGATCACCATTCGACCGACCGTGTCCGCTTTCGATGGCACTGGCTGCTGAAGGACGCAGACTTCTTCCACGGTGGAACTGCGGAGTTCGAGGAGCGTCACCCCTGTGGTCCACGTCTTTTACACATAATAGAAATCTGCCAGCCAGGCATGCCCAGAGAGCCCAATACCCCTTAATTAAGGAATATAGCTCAAATCATAATATGAAGCCCGATATAATTTATGCCATATTCCTTAATTAAGGGGTATTGGGCTCTCTGGGTGTGTGATGCTCCTGACCCGCACGAACCGACTTGTCGCTTGAGGAAACCTGAGGCCGAGAGCTCGCCTAAGCCCTGCATGGAGCTTACATTACGACAAGGGTCCAGGGTTTTTGGGTTGAGGGCTTGAGGCTTTAAGTTTAGGAGGAACTTCGATCGCGGGGCCCTCCAAAGGTATCGAAATCATCAAACCATCTCAGCAGAACATGCGGGACCAACGTGTAGACAAGCCTTGCCACCCATTTGATTCATCCAACTTCAACAATGCCAACCGCGGAAACTTACAGCGAATAGCGCATTTCCATTGACACCTTTCAGTTCCAGGGCACCTTAAACGGATTCTGCGAAATGGAATCGTCAGCTTCAAACCGCCAGCAGGACTGCCCACAGCAGTAAAGACCAAACCTCTCAACCCTACACCCCACCTCCGGGGGTTGTAGCTTGATCCGGTTTCCTGAACAAACGGCGCGACCTGCGGAGAACAGCGATCTGGGCACGTGCCAGGTGTTGGGTTGGAGCTTTGCTTCCCAATATTGGTACTCATAATCACAACAATAACAAAACATATTTAAATTTAGGAGTCTTAGGAATAGCAGAAATGAGCAATAAGCATCATCATCACCACCATAAAGTTAGCGCTTGAGGATAGGATTGTCGGCTATGGTAGATGTATAGGGATAAACCGTGATAATAAGGAACCATCAGACGTCCGGCTGAGGGCATAGGGAGGAACTGGTGCGGGGCAAAGGCTTCCTAAGCCCTAAACCCCCAAATCTAAGGATTTGGGGTTTAGGGTTTAGGGTTTGCAGTACGATTTAGGGTTGAGGGCAACGGTGGGCTTTGGGTTCACGAAGCAGGGTCTCGTGGGCTTCTAGACTCTATCGTAGCGAGCTCGTTGATCTTTAACTTTGGAGCTGCTAGCCCAATACGATTACTCTTTGGACTATAGCAGGCTTATATATAACCAAAGGGTTTTAAGGGTTACCTACCCAGCTCCTAAGTAAAGCTGGGATTCAGGGTGGTTCGAGGTATGCTTCCAATTCCCCACCACAATCCCATCCACACTAAGCGTAGCAAAATGAATAACGGGGTTCTTAGTCAGCTTCCTATTTCAGCTCTTGCCTGTCTTTGCTGCTTGCGCCACGCAGGGCAGTTCGGAAGTGTGGCTTTTGCTCAGTTGAAAGCTGTAGGGGAGTTTGGTTATTGTTGGTCTGACGGTTTCCTTCCCTAGGATACCCAGTAACCTAAGAAAAAAAAGGCCTCTCTTTTTGGTATCGGGTAACTTTATAAGGAACCTAGGACTACAAAAAGGGAACAAGGGTACTACTGGGCATCCTAGTTCCTGTGCTGAGAGAGGTCATATAATTTTCATAGCGAACACAGAACATCTTCAAACTAAAAAAGCACGAGTGGCAAGTAGCAGCACTTGCACAAGTAATATACGAAGCTCTTCGATGCGAGCTGTGGCTTCAATGCTCCTATACTGAACTTAGAACCCTAGCAAAAATTATAAATTTAAGCTGTTGCTTAGGGATTGTAATAACCAAAAATTAAAAGCTATTTCTAAGTACCCCTAATGCTCGAGGGTGGAGGCTCTTGCTCGAGATTACGGCGATACAGCTCGCAGGAATCGGAGGCCTCAAAAGGTGGGATGAAGGTAGGTAGGATTAATTAAGGATCCCAAAAAATAAGGACTCATAAAAGGGAATTTCCCCACCTGCCTTCATCCCACCTTTTGAGGCCCCTGAAGGAACACGGCTACGACTACTCATTCTGCAGCCCTAAAGGCTAAATGCCCTCTGCAAGCCCCAAACCCCTCACCCTTACATCGCAGGGAAAAGACCTCATCGCTGTTCCCAGACCGCTCGGTCAAAATTGGCTGCTCCCTGCTATTGCACGGAGTGCCTGGCCTTCCAAGAACCATTGGCACTGCAGCTATTATGTTTAAAAACAGGATCCTCCCCACAAGGTCGGTTAGCCAAAAGTTACTACATGGGCGGCTACAGGTAGTATCTGAAATCCAGAGAGTACGGCTTTGGTCCGACGTGGCCCCATGCCCAAAAGCTTCTTTGTAACACCTATATATGGGCCCTAAACCAGCCTTACAACCAGAAATCACAAACTGGGCCTAAACCCTCAACCTTAATCCAGCACCAAATGCAAAGCCCAGAGACTCCAATATCCCTTAATCAAGGAATATACCTTAAATCACATTCAGGATCCTACTATAATTTAAGGTATATTCCTTATTTAAGGGATATTGGAGTCTCTGGGAGGCCCCAACCCTAAACCCTAAACCCTAAACCCTTAATCCAGCACCAAATGCAACGGCCCCGGGGCGCCTCCGCCCTCATCACCCTCAGAAGCGCCCTGCAGCCGCCCCCAGCGCCTCGGCACAGGGTTTCTCAGAAGTCGATCAGGTGGGTACCCAGAGACTCCAATATCCCTAGGAATATACCCTTAATTTTCTTAAGGATCCTACTATAACTTAAGGTATATTCCTTAATAAAGGGATATTGGAGTCTCTGGGTAGTTCTCTAGATTGCATCCACTTGTCCATTGTTCTTACAAGAGTTCAGTGATACAGACAGGGACACTACACTACTTTACAAAACTACCCAAATATTGCTTACAAAGTTCCATCCCCCTACGTGGGTTTGCATCGTGCTCAATTCCTGCCGCCCGTTTGCTGCATCTTGGGAATCTGCAGCTGCTGTCTGCAATCACCAGCCGCTCCTTCCAAACTTGCCCAACGGCTTGGCCAAGCGTAGCTTGCTGCTTCTTGCCATGGCATCCACTTCCAAGACCGTGCATGCTCTGGTCTACGGAGCAATACCCTCTCTGCCATCTGCCTATTGATAGAGTCTTCCAGAGATGTTGTGCTGAAAGCCATGCTCTTGTAGCACGAAGACGACGTACGATCTAAGGAGGTCCTGTGAGGACTTCATAGGCGTCAACATGTCCCGAAATGTGCACTAACCCATATCTTGAGGATCAAATCTTCTTCGAAAGTATTCTGTCACTTCCTCTCCCCTGCGCTTTCTCTCCTATTTCATCGATCCGACCAGCTCAGATGCTGCTTCTGCAACGGCGTCGATGGCACCGGAGGATTTCCTCTTGTAGAAATCTCAAGACATCTGGCAAAAGTCGGATAAGCCTGGATAACCAGAAACTTCTGGAATGCAATCCCGAACCACTTCTTGACAAAAATGCTCTGCCCATCCATTCACTTGGTCTTTAAGGATTCTTCGCAGGTCCTGGAACTGCAGTGGGGAGTGAAATCTGTTCAATGAGCCCTTACCCCTTGCAATAGCCCTGAACCCTAAGCCCCTTCACAATCAACAAAACATACTGAATCCTGAAGTCACACGGATGTAGGGGCCTGAATAAATTGGACAGGGTTTTAAAACTCCTTTGTAGTATACCTGTCACAAGGAACCCCAAGGAATAGTATTGGTAGTTGTTTAGAACCTTATAGCTTAACCTGAGGAGAGGATGCCGCATAGCTACAGGCGGTGGCCTCTCTGAGTAGGGCTGCATCGTAGCTGTTGAATCAGTTTTTGCGCTTCCCAACGGCTTTGGATCAGGAGTGCCCCTGCTTAGCAGTCTCTTCAGCCATTTCTGGTTCTGAAGCCCGACAAATTACAGCAAAGCCATGCAGGCATGAGGGTTAGGGAAGTACGCATGGCTTGGGGATGTCGGGGTGATGGCTTGCGGCGTCATCAGAGTAAACGAAGCAGCAGCAGAAGTCGTGTCGGCAAAGAAGCAATATCAAGAACCATCATCTACAGCACGACCTTCCAACTGGCTACATCTACTGTCACCTTCAGGGTCTTATAGGGGTTTTACATGCTGTACCGGGGTTTACTGGGGTTATACGTTCCCACGTTCCACTTTCCACCCCCCAGCCAAGATGCAACCCTTCCCTCCGCTTTAATTCTTTGTCTCGGTTCCAGAGTAGCCTCATCATAGTAAGGGTACCCTTTTTCCTACTGTTCACTGTTCGGCTTTGATAAGGGACCCATACGATAAAAAGGGCAAAAAGGTACTACTCAGGAACCTAGTTGTCATTGGCTGTTGAACCCCATGTAGGAGAAACGTCGCTCCAGAGGCACGGAGGGAGGGGGATGTGCCAGCCGGACCCTATGACAAAAGCCTCAACACCCAGAACATCTGCACTCCGCATGCTGCATGAAATACCCTTCATCACTACAACCGCAATATAGCTTTACCCTGTAGGAGATGAACGAAGAACACAGTCCGACGTCTCGAAACCCACGAACTCCAGTATTATTGTTATGATTACTCATATTATTATGAAGACTATTACTATTAGTATCATTGCTATTATGATTGATATTACTATGATGACTATTGTCACTATGATTACTATTGATATTTTTCTTATTATGAGAGGATCTGACTCCTGAGGCTTGCTCCTTTGGGCGTCTGCAGACATGCTGGTGAAAAACTCCTGCAAGGGTTTAGGGTCTAGGGGTTTAGGCTTTAAAGGTTTAAGAGTTCAAGGTTTTGGGTTTTGGGGTTTAGTGCTTGGGGTTTAGGGTACATAGCCGAACGGTCTCACGGTCGGAATTGGGTGCACTTGATACATACAGGGTTGTCAGCGTCGGATTTAGGCTTCGGGGTCCTGGGAAGCTTGCTTCGGTTGTCGCTTGAGTTTGGGTTGTTGCTTGCGAAATCTTATGAATTCGGCCTACTTGTTGAACGTCTGAGCTGATGCGGGTTTAAGTTTCGGGCTTCGGCTCCGGAAGAAGAGTGTTTACAGAGTGGAGCCTTTGCACCTGAACCCTTCCACCCCGCTTAATGTCTCCCAATCTTCCGGCTGCGCAACATCCTCCTCATCCTCCTCCTTCCGAAAACGATTATTGATGTCCATTCCTGCTACAGTATCCGTCAGCATCCCTCACGTCGAGCTGCATACCCGGCCTTGCGTAGCCCATGGCCCTCTCCACCCTCGACACGCCGGCCGTGCACCATCTTAGTGCCAGTGGCGGCCTGGCATTCTGCAGCTTTTGTTGGCAATATAGGGGCCTGAAAATTTAGAATAGGGTTTTGGGATATATATTATCATGCTATATTTCTATAGGGGCCTGAAAATTTAGAATAGGGTTTTGGGATATATAATGCCATAGTTCCCGATGACAAAACTCTATAGAGTACGGCAGCGACCTGCCAGGCCCTCTCCGCTTCAGAAGGATCTATGTTGTTACTGCTGGGCTTAGGCTTTAAGGTTTAAGGTTCAGGGTTTAGGGTTTGGGTTTAGGGTTTAGGGCTTAAGGTTTAGGGTTTAGGGTTTAAGGTTCAGGGTTTAGGGTTTGGGTTTAGGGTTTAGGGCTTAGGGTTTAGGGTTTAAGGTTTAGGGTACTGCGAGGCAGGGCCATCAAATCCCCAAGCTTCGGCCCCCTGATTTCCCAATGCCCAAGCTCCGAAACAACAGCCGCCAGAAGGGAATCGGAACATCTCGGCCTCAAAGTAAGGAAGAAGCACACTCGCATGCCTGGGTCAGGTGCATTGTCAAGCGCTTGCTCTCGTGCCATTGGCTTTGAAGCATCACAGTGCTTTAGGATGCAAAGCTTACGTGGTGGATGTGTAATTAGGAGTTCTCAAACCTGCACTCATGTATAGGTCAATATATGAACGTACATCTATCAGTACGTCTGCCAATGTATCCATCCGTCCATGCATCCATAAATATGTACATACATGCGTACATACATACGTACATGCATACATACACAGACATACATCCATCCATCCATGCATGCAAACATACATCCATCAATCAGATGACATATACCTCCCTTCGAGTACACGTACTTGCTCGAAGCATACACACAAACGATACACTCGCACAAAACAGAGAGTGCCGGCAACTAGTAACATGTACGTACGCCTGTTGCAGCTCATACTTTGCAACTGTCTAAATCTCCCGTTAACTGGCAACTCGCGTCACGAAAGGTGGAAACCCTCGCTGCGCAATTACAACATGCCATGAACCTTCAAGTAGCGCCTGGGTCCTGGAAAACCTTCGAAAGCTTTCCCAATTCTCCACCAGAAAACGAAACCTAAATCATCCCTAACGCCTAAACCGAACCGTCTGAGTTGCGGACTCCTCAGGTAGCTGTGCAGCCACGTCTGCCAAGCCCCCGTCACGCGCCAGAACCTCGGCCAAATAAACATTTAGAGATTCCCAGAGAATTTGTGTCTCTCTCTCTCTCTCTCTCTCTATCTCTATCTATCTCTCTCTCTCTCTCTCTCTCTCTCTCTCTCTCTCTCTCTCTCTCTCTCTCTCTCTCTCTCTCTCTCTCTCTCTCTCTCTCTCTCTCTCTCTCTCTCTCTCTCTCTCTCTCTCTCTCTCTCTCTCATGCATGTATGTATGTATGTACATCTGCATGTAAGTATGTGTACGTATGTGTATGTATATGTACACGTTGGGATATGCTTGTGTTTATGTTTATGCTTGTGTGTGCATGCACATTTTCATGTGGATGTGGATATGGATGTGCATGTGTGTGTATGTATGTATGTATGTATGTATGTATGTATGTATGTATGTACTGAGGTAGGTAGGTACGTATGTATGTACGTATGTGTGTGTGTATAAGTACGGTATGCTGTATATATATATATATATATATGCATACACACATACATACATACATACATACATACATACATAAATACATACGTATATACATATTTTAAGCTCAGTTCCACAAATGCAAGTCCCAAGACTATAATCGAATGGTCTATCGGGATCTTCTGCGCTGATTTGTTTTAAGTAGGCCACTGAACTCCGGGGTTTCCCGGGTTTCTGTGTCGTTGTCCCGGGCATTATCAAGAAAAACGGGGCCTGGGAACGAGGAGGTGAAGCAGCATCAAAGATTTCACTGGTCTTTTAAGCAGCCAGGAAGAAAAAGTATAGACATGTATTTCATAATGGCTCCTTTGAGAATAAAGTATCGAAGTATGGTACTCCAAAGCCCAGTTCATGCACTGTCCCGGGATTTGGCACCCTAACACCCGCAACACCAAAGCCTACGACCCTGAAGTCCTAAGTCCTACACCCTGGTTCTTCAACCCCAGGGCAGACTTCTCACACACCTTAGCCCTGAGCATCCTGGTCCCTGAACCCGTCCAGCCCCAACTGTAGGGGCCTGAATAAGGCTTAGTTTAGGGGTTTAGGGTTTAGGGCGGGGGCTTAGGATTTACGGTTAGGGATCAGAAAAGGACGACAGAACGATTAGGAACAAAAGGGAAGGAAGATTACGATTACTGATTCTGCCGACCCCTGTATTCAACCGCCAACCCCGGTAACCCCCGAACCTTGCCAGAAAGTGAAGCCCTTGTGTTGTTGTTTGAAATTACAACCCTAAACCCTAAACCCCTAAACCCCTAAACCCTAAACCCTAAACCCTAAACCGATAATTACAACTTGTGTGGTGTGAAACGGCCTTGAGTCAAAAAGTCCCCTATGTCCTGAATCTCCCGTATGCTTTGAGACTGCGGCAACTGTACAAGGTGGCGTGTCCTGGAACTTACGGTTTAGGGTTTAGGGTTTAGGGTTTAGGGTTCGGAACAGATCGTCTCATTCAAGATGCAAGGCTTCTTGTGTTTCCGGTTTATTCTTGAGGGTTGCTCCTCGCGGTGCCAGGCTTCGGGAGAGACCCACCCACCGTTTCAGCCGAGTTGTAAGATGCTTGCTCACGGAACCCAAACTCCAACGCATGCCCCGAGCTAAGACAACAAGCCCTGACATAAGACCCGAGCACGGACAGGGCGGCCCCAGAAATACGGAGCCCCAATACTTGGAGGTTCATGGGTACTTATAAGTAGGGTTATGAGTAAGGTAGCTATACTTATAATCATAATTTAGGGGACTTATGACCCCACGTATAGCTACCCCAGGCTACCCCTGAACCTCCAAGTAACGAATGGAGGGATGCTGAATTCTTTGACCCGCCAGGACGTGAAGGGACCCACGGGTTCTGAAACTTCCCAACACACTCGCCATCAAGAGTCTGTTTAGGGTTTAGGGGTTTAGGGGTCCAGGGTTTACGCCCTAAGAGTTCATAGTTTAGGGGTTCCGGGTTTAGGTGCAGGGTGTAGGGCTCAGGCTTTAGCCAGGATGTTCGCAGCGTCAAACTACCATAATACTAGAATGCGGAAGACTCATAACTAAGCGGCACTTCGAAGCCAAGACTATCAGGGAACTCCCAACATGAGGGTCGGAAACAGACTCTCTTTGTTGACACGGGGGAGCTAGGTCGCTAGTGGCAAAACACTGACCTTCAAGCTCTGCCTGTAAAAAACCAAATCCGGAATTCGAGACCCAACCAACCAAATCCCTCAAAACAAGTAGGGGGTCCATTTTGATAGATGCCACGGTTGGAATCCTAGAATAAAAACAAAGAATGCCCTCCGCTGAACCCTCAACCCTAAACCCTGAGCCCCTAAACGGCCCTAAATGCTCTTGTTCGATCATGCACAACTTGCTGTAGTGTAGTCAGGCGAGCATGAGTGTACCCAACGCCAATATTCTCAACAACGACGGGGCCTTCAGTTTTGCGATGTCCCTGATTGGCAATCCCGAATCTGCCAAGATCCGATCAAGATCAGCTTCTTCACCCGCCGACAGCTCAGAGGGCCACTGCTGAACGTTTGAAGTCCAAGTAATCAATGATGTCTTGTTACCCAGCCGTTCGTCAAGGGCTGTGCACCTTTCTGTCAAGTCCTGAGGGTTGCAGCCTTTCATCAACTGTTTTTCATCCTCGTTCTTCCATCCGAAACCAAGCCTGGTGATCCGCAGGTGCAACAGCACCAAGTACTTGCCGAGGAGCTTGCCGGACAAGGCAGCGCTGGGCAAACCAAAGCTGATGGAGTGGGCGAGCTCCTTTAAGGAATTTACAAGGTTCGGTTAAAGAAGATACCTCGAAGTATAGGGGCCATAATAATGTGGCTTATGGTTTATTCCTTAAGACAAAGTCTTCAACCTTGAATGCCCGGTTGAGGTGCATCATCGTGTGGTGTTTGTGCACCACGTGAACGATCAGCCTGTCGGAAGCTTTCGTCCACATGTGCAGCTAATCATACACCAGAAAGAACTTTCTGTCTAAACCCCCAGAAACCCTGAACCCTAAACCCTAAAGCCCAAAACGAGCCCAAACCCTAAAGCCTAAGGACCCAAACTTTAAACCCCGATAGCCTGAGCCCTTTAACCACAAACCCCATCACGCGGAGCTCTTCGTGTCGCCTTAGAAACTCGATTCCTGAGTAGCCCCTGAGTAATAAGGGTATCGTTTTTCCTACTGTTCGGTTCTAGTAATAAGAGGACCCAAAAACGAAAAGCGCGAACGGGAACTACTCAGGAATCTATAGAACAACCTTACACAACACTTCCAGCACAGTTTAGAGCTCAAGGTGCGGATGAGGGCTTCGACTACAAGACTCTCGCAAGAAAGCCTTTAGATACTCTTAGTCGCTGACCCCTAAACCATAAGCCCAATTTGCAGGGTTTGGGGCTTAAGGGGTTTAGGGCTTGGGGGGGTTAGGGCTTAAGGGGTTCAAGGGCTTTAGGGTTTATAAGGGGCTTAACCCCATATGCCCAGCCTCCGGGATTAGCTAGGGTCCGTATACCCATATAATTACTATGAATCCCTGTATGGTATATGAACCTTAAACCCTGTTAGGGTTCAGTTCGTCCTTAAGGATCAAATTATGGAGCCCTAAAAAGGTAGGTTCCTTAGGGTCTAGGTGGGGTTAAACCCCATGTGTGCCCAGACTCCGGGATCAGAAAGCAGGGTCCCTATACCCATATACTATGAATTCGTCCTTAAGGATTGTAGTAGCAGTAGTAGTACCAGTCGTAGTAGTAGTAGTAGTAGTAGTAGTAGTAGTAGTAGTAGTAGCATGTGCCCAGCCTCCGGGATGAGCAGACAGCCCAAGAGGAGGCCCTTCGAGGTGCTACTGAGCAGGGCCAAGTGCTCCTGAAAACCGGGGCTTTTAGGGCTTTGAGGGTTTGTAGGGTTTATAGGGTTTATAGGGTTTAATAGGGTTTATAGAGTTTTTAAGGTTTATAGGGTTTATACGGTTTAATTGGGTTTATAAGGTTTTAACAGGGTTTAGGGGTTTAGTTAGGGGTTTAGGGTTTTGGGTTCGTTCATTGGAAAGGCCGGCTCAGGGTCAAGGGCTTAGTGTTCAGAGGCGTGAGCACGATCTCTTCCTCCGGAAAGTGTTGCGCCGGTGGCGCTTCGGAAGGGATCCCTTAGACCGCTTCCGCGGGGATCATGAGATCCGAAGTTGGCGGAATGGTGAGCTCCTCCAAGCCGATACCCAAATGGAAGTGATTACAGAACAGCACTCCCCGGGAGTTCGCTTTGAGCTCCGTCGTGTGGGGCGCACGATCCACGATCCACCTTTCAACATGGTCGCGCTGCAGCTGCGCAGGAGCGCTGATACCAGCTCTCGATCGAAGCGAGATGGAAGAACCACATCGTCGTGGTTTTCATATGCTTATGTGTGGCTGCAATGTGGGAGTTTCCGAAAATAGAGGATCCTAAGATAGTACCCTAAATAGTAGGATCCTTCTTATAAGGACCCCCAAATAAGGTACCCCTAATTTTCGGAAACTCCCATGTGAAAGTTGCGGTACCTCTCGGTAGACAGGATCAGTGCCTGCGTGTCCACAATCCGGATGCCACGAGTCTTGAGCTCCCATTAGGGTTCGGAGTCCGGGGCATACCTTAGGGTTTAGGGATTAGGGTTTAGGGCTTAGGGTTTAGGGTTTAGGGTGGCATACCTGTCAATCCCAGGCGTAAGTTACTAACTTAAGAATTATACAGGTCTACCTAGGGCCACCGCCTACCATGCGTAGGGCTTCGATCTGCAGGCAAAGGCGTACCTATACTGAACTTAGAAGCCTAGCAAAATTTATAGTTTTAGCTGTTTCTTAGGGATAATAATAACAAAAATTAAAAATCTGTTTCTAAGTACCCATCAGGTACTGTGGAACGTGTACCCGGAGTTGCTTCTACGTAGTCCGCATGTTGCTTTCCTGCCGTGCTTCTTCTAGGGACCTGGACCTTCGCATACATTGCAATGTTCCACGGGCAAAAGGAGGGACCCTTCATGGTCACCCCTACCCTACAATGGACCATATAATGGGTATATAATAGCTATATTAAGGTTCTATACCTAGGGGTCCTTATTAAGGGTTCCTCCTTTTACCCTTCGAAATGTACAGAGGTAGAATGTTGATGGCATACCACAGGTTCATGACAAGCGCAGGTCGTGGAACAAGTAAACTAAGCCCTGTTGCCGGACCATAAGGATCCTGGGGAAGCAAAACAGCCTAACAACCCTAAACCCTAAACCACGTGAACCCCCAAAAAACCCTAAACCCCAAACACTACACCCTGAACGCCTAACCCCTGAACCACTAAACCCCTAAGTCCTAAACCCTAAACCCTTAAGCCCTAAACCCCCGAAGCCCCAAACCCCTAAACCCCAAACAGACAGCAACCATCCTCAACTGCTGCCTCACCTTCAAATCCCCAATATCGTGGCTGTTGGCAATGGGACTCGGCTTTGTCTTTAGGGGCAATGTAGGAACCCGAGTAAGAAGCCTCTGTCCTTTATCTGGGCTCCTTACATGGATCCTACTATTCTGGGGGTTATAGGGCCAGGGTTTCTTAATCAGGTTCCTACATATGGGTAGTTGTCAAAATTAAGGTCCCTTTATGGGTCCCTAATATAGTACGGCACCTTATATTTAGGGTACCCAAAAAAGGGACCCTAATTTTGACAACCACCCATATGTTACATAAGGGCTATCTACTCATGCAGAGTGAAAGCCTGAGCTGAACCATGCAACTTGCAACCCACGAGATCAAAACCCTACACCCTAAATCCTATATAGATCTCTTTAAAGGAATCCTTAAGGATCCCTTTAAAGGAACCCTACGCTCACCCGAAACCCCAAACAAGGAACCCACCGAACCCATAGGCCTCGATCCCGAAGCCTACGCACTCACACCGCCATGCCCGAGCCCCCTCAGCACGCACCCCCAGATCCCGAACAGAGCTGAGGACTGAAGATTTTTGGGGAGTTTAGGGCTTACTACCGGGGCCTTCATATTTGCGTATACTATTTTGGGTGTTCCTTGTCATAATAATAAAAGTAGAATGGGGCAACTATTGAGGCCCCTCTATTCGGGGCTGGGGTTTGGGGGTTTTAGAAATCAATCCGAACACAAACCCTAAACCCTAAACCCTAAACCCTAAACCCTAAATGTAAACCCCCCAAAGTCCTGCACAGGTGGTAGCCCGGTTTCGGCCTCGAGTTCACCTCAACAATGCAGAGGTGGCAGCTGTGGTGGCATTGCCCATCGCTTCAGAAGCATTGCTAAGGTAATAGCCAGAAAGTTGGAATATGACTATCCTAACCCTTCTATGGTAAATTATAGGGTATCCTACCCTGAAACCATATTCCAACTTTCTGGAGTTTCCTATAGAGTCATAAACGTTGTGGTGCAGTGGTGCATGCAGCAGAAATAAGAACCTGGCAGCAAGGAACAGGGGCTTCAATGACCATGACCGCCCACAAAGCGCAAGTCTCACGAGAACAGTGACGATTTGGGTTTAGGCTCTAGGGGCAGAACATGAAAACAAGAAAAAGTGCACTTTCATACAGAGCAGGGATGCTGCAACCAAAAATGAAGATCCTACAGGCACCCTCGAACAATGTCGAGAGCATAGGGCCTCCCCAAAACCAGAGTACTCTGCCCAACCACCTCATACATCTGTAGCCCTACATAGGGATTAGGGTTACAGGGCTTAACAAACCATAATCCCCAAACTGCGACACTACGCCACAAACCAGAAAACCTGTGTAAGCGAAGCGACGCAGCTGCTGCAGCTGCTTCGCAGCTGACGCCGCGCGCTGGCCGATAAAGGCGCGCTGAAAGAGGAGGACAATGTGGTCCAGGTCCTGCTTCTGTTTAGGGTTTAGAAGTTTAGGGCTTAGGCTTTAGCTTAGGGTCTAGAGTCTGCTGTTGTTGGGGTGGTCGTGGGGCTTGCTGTGATTGTGGACTTTGCGTCTTGTGGCTGCTGGGAGATTTTGCGTTATTACGGCAAACCGATGTGGAGTGCAGCTCTATCCAAACATACTATCTATCTATGTACATAGACGGTACACTTATATATACGATCTATTATGACTTGTACATGTAATATACAATGCAGCTCTGGCCTCGTCATCGCCAAGCCTAGAGCCATGCAGGATGGAAGGGTCATGAACAAGTCCTGCGAGATGTACTCGCTTGCGGGACCTGCACCCGGCATCCGTGACACCTGGCACGACAGGGTGCAAGACTGAAGGATAATGATGACTTCTTCAGGTCGGGGGTATGGCCCTAAACCCCTAAACCCTAAGACCTAAACCGTATAGTCTTGCAATCTGTGGCTATGGACCATCGGATTTGGGGTAGAGCTCCAAGGCTCCGGTCTACGAAACTTCAACATGCGTATCTGAGGGTCTTCGTCGCTGCTTCGGCTGATGGTAAAAATCCTGCATTACCAATTATAAGGAATATACCATAATTCCTATAGTTTAGGGTCCTTAAGGTAGTGCAGGATTGCATCATCAACCGTTCAACTGGTAGGCTACGGAGGAGCATTCGCACCCCCCCCCCCCCCACAGCAAGCCTTTCGAATCTGGGGGTTTTAGGGTGTAGGGGCCCCTAAACCCTCAACCCTATAGAGACCTCTTCAAACAACTCTCGGCGGGTTCCGGGCTTAAACAGATTTAAACAGTGAAATGTTCATGAGCATGCAATCTTTATGTCAACCCAGAGCCACGAGGCATTCAAACAGAGCGCTCTGGAGCCTGCAAAACAACACCTTCCAAATGGTGCAAAACCCTCACTACTATTTGCTTAAGAAGCCCCCAAAAATAAAAATAATACTCCCTATATTACCCCCATAAGGAATATTTTTTTTTATTTTTTGGGGGGTTCTTAAGCAAATAGTAGCTAAACCCCACAGGCCCTAAACCCCAAACCCTAAACCCAAACCCTGGTGCAAAAGGCTCGGAAATCCCTCGGTCACGCCACGCACACAACCCCATGAAACCACAGCGCAGTCTCGAGAACATGTAATACAGGAGCCTTAATCATTACGATGGGGTGTTGGGCCCATTGTACTTAATAAGGAACCCCAAAATAGCATGGGTATTTGTTCAGGCCTCTAGTACGCGCTCTCTAAAATCCTGAAAGCACGGAGTTGTGCAAGCCCTTGCCGGCTGCAATTCGATTTTTCAGCCCTTGAACTTTGAACCATCAACCAGAGAGCCCCTTACTTGGAGGGTCGGGGGACTTAGTAACTGGTTATTTTAGGGACTTATAAGTACCAGAACCCCAATTAAATTAGGGTCCCTTTTAGGGTACTTATAAGTCTACTTACTACCTACTTACTAAGTCCCCCGACCCTCCAAGTATCCAAGGAATAGATTCATACACCCTAGACCCTTTTCAAGACCCCTTGCAGTTCTAAGGCGCGTTCGTTAAATTGGTTCAACCATCTTATCGATCTCCTTCTACTTTTCAATTTGTTACCCTAAACCCTGAACCCTGAACCCTATAAACCCTAAACCCTAAACCCTAAACCCTGAACCCTAAACCCTAAACCCTAAACCCTAAACCCTATAAACCCTAAACCCTATAAACCCTAAAGCCTAAACCCTAAACCCTAAACCCTATAAACCCTAAACCCTATAAACCCTAAACCCTGAACCCTAAACCCTGAACCCTAAACCCTAAACCCTAAACCCTAAACCCTAAACCCTATAAACCCTAAACCCTAAACCCTAAACCCTAAACCCCAAACCCAAACCCTAAACCCTAAACCCTATACCCTAAACCCTAAACCCCATAAACCCTAAACCCTAAACCCTGGAGCCTATACCCTAAACCCTAAACCCTATAAACCCTGAACCCTAAACCCTAAACCCTAAACCCTAAACCCTATAAACCCTGAACCCTAAACCCTAAACCCTAAACCCTAAACCCTAAACCCTAAACCCCAAACCCCAAACCCTAAACCCTGAACCCTATAAACCCCAAACCCTAACCGACTCACCGCCTCCGTCACGACCGTGCAGGCTGCAGCAACTCCGGCGGCTCTCGCCTCCTCCAACCTGACCGGGTTTGGGCTTTAGGGTTTAGGGTTTAGGGTTTAGGGTTTAGGGTTTATAGGGTTCAGGGTTTAGGGTTTGGGGCTTAGGGTTTAGGGTTTAGGGTTTAGGGTTCATCGGTTTCGGATTTCGAGGGTTTACGGTCTATAGGGTTAAGGATTTATAGGGTTTCGGGCTGTTTGGGGTTTATAATTAAACCGAACTACCCGCACTTGCCTGCTGGGGCTTCAGCCCGGAACCCTCATCAACTAAACCCTTGGGCCACAACATGAAGACCCTGAACTGCAAACAATCCAGCCGGAGAATCTACAAGTCCAGAACATGAGCTGCCCAATCCCATAGCTGCACGGGGTTGGTGTTTAAGCGTTTGGGATGGTCAGTCTATGATTTTGGGTTTACCGCTACCCCACACACCGTAGACACCCTGAGCCAGAACCACACCCTGAATCGGAAAACTCCAACCCCTAAGCCTTTTTGTGCAGACAACTCCGACTCCTGAAGCTCTTGCAAAGTACACCGAGGCTACTTGGAGGTTCAGGGGTAGTCATAAGTGGGGCTATAAGTAAGGAAGGCAACTATACTTGGTTTAAAGCCGAAATCTGTCCCCTGCGTTTTTGTTGTTTTACTGCTTTCAAGACATCAAGGCAGCGGATACAGATCGGCTTTTGTTAACAGAAAACTTTCGCACCAGCACCTGACCACTCACAACAGAATATTTTAGTTGTTTATTGAAACCCGTTATTTCGATATATGTGTGATATTCAAGTGCACAGAGCTGCAGCAGAGAGAGTTCCATTTTTGGGCGCACACATGTGTTCCCATGTTCTGTGTCGCTCACTCAACCCGAAAAGGCTTCACGATGTCGGTGAAAGCAGCGGTGGCGATGTTTCGCCGATCAAAATATTGGGGGCTCAGTGCCCTCGGAATTGCTAACATTGTTTACGGACTTATACTGGTACAGATTGGAGTCTATATCCACCATTATAGGATTTCACTGTTCTCATTCGCAACTTATGGTATCAATCTTCGTCTTACTGTCTGAAGTTTAGCTATGTCAGCCCTGTCATCAACATTCACGCCTATATAATTTCTGTATTACTTGTCACGCTGTGAAATCAATAGGTTGATGTTAAGCTACATAACCACGGTATAACTAGATCAATTAGGACTACATCATCTATCATATTAATAGTTCTACCAATATTAACAGGTGTGATGCTTTACTAATTAAGGTTATTAACAGATATGCACTTTAATACAATTGCATTTGATTCATATTCCTCGGTGATGCTATGTTCTATCAATATTTGATTTGGTTCTTTGGGAATCCAGGAGTCTATCATTCCAGCATTTGGTAATCAATAGTTTCACTCTATAATCGGAGAATCTTAGCTATGAGGCTATGAGTTGTCTTTACCTATTAAGCTAAATTAGCTTGGACACATCATATGTTTACAATTACTATGGTACAGTGATACAAGAGCTATAACTTTACAGATTAAATACATTGGTTATATTTTCATTACCAACTTGTTCGTTAAGATCATTTAGTGGGTATTCTACATATCTGGACAAGTAGGGAATGTCTACTGATATCTGTTACATTATATCTTTCATACAGTCTGTTCACAATAGGTGGTTCAAACAAGAGCTATAACTTTACAGATTAATACATTGGCTACATTTTCAGTAGCAACCTGCTCGTTAAGATCATTTGGTTGGTATTCTGCATATCTGGACAAGTATATAATGAATGTCTACTGATACTATTTTCACAACTAATGTTATCTGTTACATTATATCTTTCCTATAGTCTGTTCACAATAGGTGGTTCAACCGGTATTATACTTGGTAATTAGTGCTATTAGTATAGATGTTCATGACTCCAATTGTGTTGTTGCACTTTTTCATTATGTCTTATTATCAGTACAACCAATGCTACTCTATTAGGACTATTATATGTATTGTCAGGTGCAATGTTAAAACGACTTACTAACACTAGATGAACAGCTATAGGTATTGGCATGAATGGTTTAGGTTAGTTTTGTGTAGTAGTTAATTATCTAAGTTGTTCATGGTAGTTGTGTTCTAGTTATATTATGTGAAGGTTTACACCATTACATCTCAGTGGTTTCTAATGTTCAAGCCTAGTAGAGTACAAGACTCAGGAGATCCCTCAATGTAGTGGTTGGAAAAATGCTAGTTCAGTTGGTTAGAAGTTGCACGTTAGTTTCATTCTTTATCACTACAGTCCTTTCCAACCAAGATAATTTAATAGGAATTGGGGAGGCCACCGGAAGCTCGTCATGAATCGCGACTGCTATGCAGATATGAGTCACCGGAAAATAGAACTAGGCTTGAGTACGGCACGCCACGAATCACACACTGTATACGGCATGAGTGCCCTCCTCGTTCACAAAACTCGCTATGGCAAGATTTGTTTTGTTATTTTGCGCTTTGACAAGGCCACAACCCTGCAGGGCAACGCGGCTTACAATAGCAATGGTTTTCGGTATAAAACCGAAACCTTAGAACCAAAAAAAACAAAACCAAAAGAACCAAAAAAACAAAAAAACTAATTTTCTGAAAGTCTTCAGGAATGGTATTACCCAGGACTATACACCAAGACTTTCTGAATATTGTTTTTTTTGGTTTTTTTGGTTTTATTGTTTTGGTTTTCTTGGTTTTGTTGGTACTGTGTTTTTTGGTCTTCTGGTCTTGGTTGATTTGCTTTTTTGGTTTTGGGCTATTGTCATTGAGTGCAGTCTGCTGCTGTGGTTTTCATGAATGAAGGTACAACAGTGAAAACGCATGGGCCAGTTTTCGGCCTCAAACCGCATACTTATATCCCATATTTAGGGGACTTATAACCCCACTTATACCTACCCCTGAACCTCCAAGTAAGGCCCTAAAAGCCCTAAAACCCCATACCGTTATAGAATCCCTAAGATCCCTTTAAAGGGGCCCTTTAAAGGAACCCTTATAACTACCCCCGCCCACAGTTTGCGGCAGATCGAACTCCTGAGAACCGCTCTTTACTCTCCCCGAAGCCGGAAACGAACCCTGATCTTCCCTTTCCTTAAGGACGAAATGAACCCTTAATTAAGGAATATACCTTAAACTATAGTAGGATCCATAATATGATTTAAGGTATATTCCTTAACCCTGACCTTCCTTAAGGACGAACTGAACAGGGAACTCCGGAAAGTTGGAATATGGATTAATGGTAGGATACCTAATAATTTACCATAAAGGGTTTAGGATAATGATATTCCACCTTCCCTTTCCTTAAGGACGAGATGAACCCCAAAAGGGTTTAAGGCTCATATACCATATAGGGGTTCATAGTATATGGGTATAGGGACCCTACTTTTAAGGGTAACCCTGACCTTCCCTTTCACTGCCAAAACCTACCAATGATTTAAGGTATATTCCTTAATTAAGGGATATTGGAGTCTCTGGGCTTTCCCTGCCAAAACCTCCTTTCTTGCAGGGACGCTCGAAACTCTATATTAGGGTGTTCAAGAAGACTCTTTATGAAAAAGGTAGGCCATGGGTGACGCCTACACCCTACATCCGAGAACCGAGACCCTAAACCCTACACCCTAAACCCTAAACCCTACACCCTAGACCCTACACCCTACACCCTAAACCCTAAGCTTTGGCCCTAAACCCTACACCCTAAACCCTACACCCTATAAACCCTGAAAACCTAAACCCCAAACTCCCGGTCCAGCCTTAGGGAGCCCTCCACGATGGCCGCAATCCTCAGAGCTTAGGGTTTTGACCTAGCCGCCCTTAGAGCCAGAATTTAAAAAAAAAAAAAAATATATATATATATATATATATATATATATATATTACCATTATTATAGCACCCGTAAGTTAGATTATAAGAAAAATTTGAAACGCAAATCCTAAGAGCAGTAGGGTTTAGGGTCGGTGCAGAATTTGAGGTCTAGGGTCGTGGGGCTTGTGGGGTGTGTTTGTGTGCGCGTGCGGGGAGGGTAGTGGTATTTAGCGTCAATGATTTGGGGTATAGACTTCAGTGTTCACAGCCGGGGGTACAGGGCTTTTCATACGATGGTGCCATAATCACATTAGGGACGCTAAGGAGGTACTATTTCTGATCCCAACCCCATAAGCCCTCAACCTGCATGAAGGCCCTAAACCCTAAACCCTAAACCCTAAACCCTAAACCCTAAACCCTAAACCCTAAACCCTAAACCCTAAACCCTAAACCGCCTTTGATGCTTGGGGATCAGGGTCGGGACCGCACTTCGGTGTGGGTTTAGGGTCTACCTGAAGGACCAAATGACCCTTAAAAGGTAGGGTCCCTATACCCATATACTATGAATCCCTATATGGTATATGAACCTTAAACCCTTTTAGGGTTCATTTCGTCCTTAAGGAACCGTAAACGCTAATCCCTAAACCCTCAAACCCTAAACCCTATAAACCCTGAACCCTAAACCCCGAAACCCTAAACCGTGCAGATCCTTTTAGGGTTCATTTCGTCCTTAAGGTAGGGTTTCAAGATTCAGGGCTTTCGGGGCAGGGACCCTGGGGACCAAGGAGGCTTGGCAGTGCGGGTCCCGTGCAGTATTGATTAGAATACAGTAAAAGCCAGAAAGTTGGAATATGATTATCCTAAACCCTTTATGGTATATTATAGGGTATCCTACCCTGAAACCATATTCCAACTTTCTGGAGTTCCCTTTAGGGTGATGGTCGCTCTTATGCTGTACCCCCAAAGCGAATGGTGATGGAGATGGTAATGGTGTGGGTTGCTGGTGATGAAGATCATGGCGATGAGCCGTCCCGGCTAAACATGTCGGCTACCTGTGCATCATGCAGACCCTAGAACCCTACAACTCTAAACAACTTACTAAACCCAAAACCCTAAACCCTAAACCCAAAACCCAAAACCCTAAACCCTTAAACCCAAAACCCTAAGTTCTTATAGAACCTTCCAGCTCTAAAACACAGGTCTTTAGGCTTTTGCCACCCTTCGAGGCCCTTTGGCCTGGTCTTCCACCAAAAGGCGGCCGAAGTTTCAGAGACTAGGCAGGGCTTTAAATCAAAGGGGAAAGGAGGGACCCTAGGCCCTTTATTAGGGTTTGTTTATTATAAGGGGTCTATAAGGGCACCATAATACTGTAGGAACCTGATTAAGGTTGGGCAAAGGGGAAAAGGAGGGAGCCTTAATGGGGACCCCTACCCCATAATAATGGGCTATATAATGGGTATATAATAGCTATATTAAAGGTATATACCTAGGGGTCCTTGTTAAGGGTCCCTCCTTTTACCCCTATATTATAGGCCTGAAAAACGGATTTTTATAGTTACTGCGAAGCTTGCCCTGAGCTAGGGTTTAGAGTTTGGTTGAGTATGTAATTTCGGAGTTTCAAAATTAAATAGGGGACCCGAATATAGTACCCTGGGTTGTAGGGCCCTTATAAGGACCCCAAAATAACGTGCTCCCAATTTTGTTTCCGAAGCCTTTGAAGGAACCCTTATAGTACTCTTTTCCTAAACTCTTATAGTAACCCTTTACTGGGCTTTGAAGTAACCAGGGAGAAAAAAGTATAGACTTTTTTCTCATAATTGGTTCCCTTTAAGTAACAGGTCCCAACAAAGTATTAATGTATGATACTCCAAAGCCCACTTTAAATTCCTTTAAAGGAACGCCCCGGTAACTCCCAATTTTCGGATACTCCAACGACCTAGGAGCCGCACTTGCCAAACTCGACCCCCTCCGCGCCGTCCCCAGGCGCCTGAGACGGTTTAGGGTTTAGGGTTTAGGGTCGTAGGGTTTAGGGTTTAAGGTTTAGGGTTCAGGGTTTAGGGTTTAAGCTTTAGGGTTTAAGGTTTAGGGCTAAGGGTTTAGGATTTCGGCTTGCGATGTTCCTTCGCGGGCTTCAGGGTTTTAGGGTTGGTTTCAGGCCGCAGGTTCGGGGTAGGATGTCAATTTCAGGGTTTCAAGACGGTTTAGGGTTTAGGGTTTAGGGGTTTAGGGTTTAGGGTTTAGGAATTAAAATAGCCTTGGAGATTGTGACAGATGTTCGCTTCAAAGCCACTTGAGTGCTCACTTTGTTTACGATTGATCTTGTGGAGTTTTGGAACAGTACTGCAGGGTTCAGAACCGAGGGTGGCAGCTGGTAGTTTTCGGCCACACGAAAAGGCAGTACTTGCGAGGCTTGGTGCTGCATGCTCCACAAGTGCTTCATGCCGGACTGGAAACTATATCGCGTCTCCACCGCAATGCCCCGAACCCTGACCCTAAGCCCTACACCCTGTAAGCCCTAGACTCTAGTCTGTAAATGCAGCCCCGCACCAACCCCCAGATCCCGCAGCCCCACCTCCTTCTGAAGCCTTGCCACGGCTTTCTCTGCCAGTGGCCTGCAGGCTCCGACGGCACGCTTACTACTAGTGTAAAATATACCCTAATTATTAGAGGGCCCGACATGAGGAGTTTCGGATTTCGGGTTCAGGATCTATGGACGGGATGAGGTGCTTGATCACAGCATTGCTCTTAGTTAGGGTTAGGATGTGAGATCCAAAGTTTGGGATCTGAGCTCACCGCAACGTTCGCCAGGGCCCTGCTCTTAAAGCACCGAACCCAGAGGGTCCATATACACTACTCTTATGGAACTCGGCCCGAAATGACCGTCCCCAATGTGGTTTTGGGGCCTTGTTTCCATTAATAAAGGTAGTGTATATGGACCTTCTGCGGAAACGACGAAGATCAGGTGACTAGGCGTCGTGCGACTATTGCCCATGGCGTGTGCCTGCCTCCTGCGTATTGGAATCTTGAGGCGTATCGGTGCGTTTCCCGTCGAACACGAACTGAGAAAGTCATGTATGACGACTTACAAGGAAGCACAGTTTCAGACCCCCACATCTCACTTCTCGTGATGATGACCAGGGTGACGATGCCAGTGACTAGTGTTGGTAGTGACGGTGGTGGCGGTGGTGGTGGTGGTGGTGGTGGCGGTGGCACGGGGCAGCGGCTGCGGCGGTGATGATAATGAACATGCACATCACGCTTGTGGTTTGCCCTGCTAATGGTGATGATGACGACGGTATGTGGCCTGCAGCTAGCACGAGCACAACGATACGAATACGACGAGAAAGAGCTGCGATGGCAATCATTGACACAGGCAGATATAGCATAAGCCCGAAAAGCATGAATGCAAATAGATCGCCGTTGCTCACATCAGTTTGTGATACGATTTGTGTTGAGGGGCCGATAATCATCGCCCTCAACCCTAAATCCAAAACCCGTAAACCCTAAACCTAAAACCCCTAAACCCTAAACCACTAAACCCTAAACCCCTCAACCCTAAACCCTAACCCCAAAACCTCTAAACCCCAAAGAAAGCTTTCCAGCCGACGCCTCAATACCAAGGCCAGAGCACGCTGCATGAGCACGACCAGCCCTTGTCGGGCCTGATGACCCAGAGGCTCCAAAACTTTTTAATTACACGGTTTAGGGTTTAGGGTTTAGGGTTTATTAAGGAATCAAAATAGTCCGTAGGTGATAATAGTAACCCGACTGTAATTTAAGGCATATACCTTAAATTATAGTAGGAACCCTAGTATGACTTGAAGTATATTCCTTAATTAAGGGGTATTGGAGTCTGAGAAGGTGCAGGGTTTAGAGCTCCTTCAATGGATCTGTAGGGGTTCCTTTAAAGGGATCCATGAGGGATCTAAATCGTTTAGGGTTTGGCTATGCTTTAGGGTCGAAGGTTTAGGGTTTAGGGAAGGTGTATACACCGAAGCCCTGAACAGTAACCAGAACTAAAAAAAACAGTGTAAAGGAAATGTAGCGCTTTTGGTGAGGTTTGGGGCTGACATGAGGTTCAGGACCTAAGGATTCTGGCAGGTTTCGGGATCCGGAGACAAGGCAAGCCTAGCCCTCTGAGTCCATACATTTAGGGTTTAGATGCGGTTTTGAGGTTGGGAATTGGGGTTTAGGGTTCAGTCGGACATTTGTCACTCAGTGTCAGCAATCTGGACTTCTGCCTGGGGTTGCAAGCGTTTCAGTTGGAATTGCCGATGACAGCATCCATCTTAGCAAGGTGGTCAGGAATTGTTCGTAGCCATGCTACTCGCACGTTTGCGCCAACATCCTTCTCAAGTCAGGGCAGCGTGAGAATCTCTTCAAACAGTTACACCTGATACCAAACAACAGAGCTGGCCCGATCCTGCCGGATTAAATCGTGGCATGGACCTTGGAGGTCCCCGATTGTGTTGACAGAATCGACGCGCATCCCAAGGCATCAAACTCAGCAGGCTTAGAAGGGTTTAGGGCCTGGGGTTTTACATTTTAGGGAGCTTTAGACGTGTGTCGCACAGAGGTTTAATGCGATTTCATGGTGCTTGCGATGGTGAACTCCAACTTCTTGGCAGCGGAAACGCCCCAAAAAAAGATTATTCTCCGACGTGCCACAAAGACACTTACGGAAAGGGCAAAGTCCTGAACCCCCAAGGCCCTCAAACCCGTGAATGCCTACTTTTGGGGGCTCATATTTAGAATCCAAAAAGGTACTTGGAGGGTCGGGGGACTTAGTAACTGGTTATTTTAGGGACTTATAAGTACCAGAACCCCAATTACGGTCCATTTTAGGGTACTTATAAGTCTACCTACTACCTACTTACTAAGTCCCCCGACCCTCCAAGTAATCCCAAAAAGGAACTACTATGGAGCCTATGGGTAGTCACGAAACTTAACCATGAAGCCCTGCACAAGCCCCAACAGCTGTACCCCAATCCCCGCATCCCCGACCTGCCCTGGCCTCCGAGTGATCCGTCCTTCTGTCCGACATCATGGTCAGAATCATTTTTGCGACGTCCCAAAAAGCTAAAACCCGGAATCCTTACATCCTGCATATAAACCTAAAGCCCCAAACCCCTAAACCCTAGACCCTCAACCCCAAAGCATAACTAAACCCTCAACCCTATAGATCCCTTATGGATCCCTTTAAAGGAACCGTAAACCCTAAAGCCCTCGAACCCCTGAAGCCCCAAAACCCTAAACCTAAAGAACCGGAGCTGAGTTGTCCTTTAAGCCCTTTAAAAACTATTTACTATTATGGTTTAGGGTTTAGGGTTTAGGGTTTAGGGTTTAGGGTTCTCTACAAAATCGTAGGGAAAACTAAAAAAGATCCCACAGGACAACCCAGAGAGGGAGCCTTGGGCGGTCTCCGTGAAGCCCAGTGGGTGAGCCAGGCTCCCGCAGCCTCCGAGCAGGATGTGCTAGCTATGATCACTAGATAAAGTTACCTAGGTCCTCTTTTGGGTTTACGGTTTAGGGGTCCGGGGTTCAGTGTTTAGGGTCTCGGGGAGGTTTAGGGTTTAGGGGTAATTTAGGATTTAGGGGTGGTTGTCACAAGTATGGGGTCCTTATCATAATACGGCACCTAATATTACGGGTACCCAAAAAGGGACCATAATTTCGACAACTACCCAGATAAAGATACCTAGGTAGAGAGGATGCAGTATCACATGATTCGTGTACGAAGTTAGATCCATAGATAGACCCAGAGATAGATAGATAGATAGGTGGATAAATAGGCAGATGAATCGATGGATAGATAAGATAGACAGATAGACAGATAGATAGGAAAGTGTTGATAGGGAAAGCTAGGATAGATGGGATAGATAGGACAGATAGGATAGATAGGTGGATTGGTAGATTGGTAGATATGCAGATGGGTAGATTGGCAGGTAACTAAACAGGTAGGTAATGACTGGCAAATACGGATCCTATTGCTGGTGAACACGATAACGCATGACTATTGATGACTGGTAAGATTGCTCGTGCTATCGGAAGGGCGTAGATTCTCTCATGACCCCTATATGGCACAAGACAAAGTCTCGCTTAGACAAGCAGTTGAGCTTGTCTCCCTAAAGATCATTCTGGTTGTTGTGGCTAGTATTTCAGACTGAAGGAAAGGGACGTCAAGCACAGAACATCAAATGTGGACCCCGACATCAGGGCCTTAAGACAAGGACTAGGGCTTCGGGAGAGAATGAAGTATGAATACAATGTTGAGCCCTGAGGAATAGTGTTGGTTCTGCTGCAAGCTCCTATACTTGGCTGACTTCTGAACCCCTCCTAAAAGTCAAACTTTTGCCTCCTTATTGTGGTTCATATAAAAGCCCCAAAAATAAAGTCCTAAGAGCCAACCAGAAGCACGCCAAGTATACTATAACTTAGAAGGGGCCCCCACCCTGTAGTAGTGACTGGGCCCTATTCTATTCCTATTATACCACTATTACAGGGTGGGGGCAGCTTCTAAGGTCCAACACCCTAAACCCCAAGCCCGAAAACCTTGAACCCCCGAACCCTAAAACCCAAACTCCGCCCCAACGACCCAGATACTCCAATGTGGCCCCTTTTAAATTATAACACTCAACACCTGCCTTCCCGCCGCCGTCGCACTCGGCCATGACACGGAGAATCGTTTGTAGCTCCTGGAGAGTCTTAGAAGATTACGTGCTTGGAGGGTCTTTAGGGGACTTAGTAAGTAGGTAGTAAGTAGACTTATAAGTACCCCAGAAGGGACACTGATTGGGGTTATGGTACTTATAAGTCCCTAAAATAACCAGTTACTAAGTCCCCCGACCCTCCAAGTGGGTATTCTGTGACCCATGCCATCTTGGGTTTGCTATTCGGAATCGCGAAGGTGGGCTGCTTGCTCAAAGATCAAAAAGCGATAACATTTACTGTAAGAGCTACCGTACCATAAACCCTAAACCCTTAAACCCTAGACCCTAAAACCCTAAACCCTAAAACCCTGGACCCTAAACCCTGAAACCCTTAACCCCCAAACCCTCAAACCCTAAAACCCTAAACCCTAAACCCTAAAACCCTAATCCCTAAACTCTGAAACCCTAAACCCTTATACCCTGAAACCCTAAACCCTTAAACCCTGAAACCCCGCAACCTTAACCCTAAAGCCATAAACCCTGAAACCCTAAACCCATAAACCCTGAAACGTTAACCCTCAACCCTTAAACCCTGAAGCCCGAAGGGTTTCTATTGGGTTTAGGTCCTCGGGCTGCCGAGGTGGGCTCTAAGAACGATCAGCCCTATTTTGGTTGGCTCTCTAAGATATCACGTCCCCCCTTAGGGTTCCTGAAAGGATCCATACGGGTTTCTCTGGGTTTCGATATGGGTACTATGAGGTTAGTTCTCGAAATTCGGGTCCCTTTTTTCGGTCGGGCCTCAGAGTAGAACGGCACCCTGAGAAAAGGACAGTAAAACAGACTCTATTTAGAGAACTACCCATATGCATGCTTCAGACAAGAATTCATTCATCCTGATGTTGACTGCAAATAGCATACCCTTATCACAAGGACCCCGCAAACCGGATATAACAGGGACCGCAATCGGCAGAATATATCAGAATAGGGTTTTGAAATCGGGCTTCGGCTAAGACTGCTTACTCGAAAATGCTGCCGCAAAGGAAGATAGACTCTGCGATGCTGGGATTACAAGCTGCAAGATGTTGGGGTTTAGGGCTTAGGGTTTCCAACGGCCCCTAAACCCTAAACCCCTAAACCCTCAACCGGGTCATCTCATGTTTGGGACAGCAGGAAGTTGCGGGCCGAGGCTTTGTCGTAGGGTTTGTTGTCGGGGCACAACTATACAGCAAGATCATGGAGGGGGCTTAGGAGGGTGAGGGTCTAGGGTGCTAGAATCAGGATAATAAGCACTGCAGGCTTCGAGGAGCAGTAGCTTCATTCCTAGCTTTGCCCTGGCAACCCGGGTGTTTCTGCCCATAAATTCTTCAGATTGACTACAAGCGAAAAGCAATGGGCTCAGACAACAAGTGACCTTCATCTGGAAAGCCATGTCGGACCATCAATAGTTACTCCGACCCCCATGTTACCCCTAGCTTTGATAAAACTCCCGTGCCGATGCACGAAAGCCTGGAGTAACTGCTTTAGCCCCAGATCCAGGGCTTGCAATTGTGGGCGTAGGGCTTAGGTCTAGTGTTCAGGGTTTAGGGAGGGATTCGGGTTTAGGGTTCAGGGTTCATGAAACGCAGAGCCTGAGGGTACTCCGCTGAGAAGTCCTGGAGTTTGGCGTCATCCCGATACCCAAAAGCTGGGATACTCACATTGAGTGGCACGAGGCCATTCTCCAGCTTGTCCGGACCGAAGTTTTCCGCGAACTCACACATGGACTCCCAATCCAAGTCATCGAAGACCTGTTGCTGGTCATTCCTGTCACGGATAAGCTATGTCTCTAAAGCCTGTATTCGATTACCCGCCACCCGGACCTCTGAAGCCCTGAGCTGGCGAGCACCCATCGAGCCCCGCAACCAACTGTATAGTTCAACCTGAAAACTAAAAGTCCCCAAATCCCCAACCTTAAACCCAAAACCCCCAACTCCCAAAATCCTATATAAACTTTCGGCCCTAAATCGTATAAACCCCAAACCCTCAGGACCCTAAAGTCATAAAACCCCTAGCAAAGCGTATGTTCCCAAGTTCTCCGAAGCAGACTCGACGCTCCAAGCACGAGATCCGAGAGCCTACGTCGCAACCCCAACATCCTCAGCTCTAAACCCTCTAAACCCTTAAAAAACATGCTGGGCTTTGCTATATAAATCCCTAAACCCTAAACCCTCAAGTCTAAACCCTAACCTCTCCCTAAACTCAATCCCCTAAACCCTAAGCCTCCTAAATTCCCAAAAACGAAGACCCCAGAAGACACCTCTGCGCTGCATTTGCCGGGCCGTAGGGAGCCCCGTTGCACTGGCCCGAGCCTTAGATTCTTAGATTCGGCCGCTTGTCCACTCTCCGAAATATCTTTATATATCTTTAACGCAGGCATTCGTCTAGGATTGCAGAGGTTTTTGAAGGCGGGTTAAGAGTTTTGGATGTAAGGTTTGGTGTTTAGACTGAAGGCTTCCGATTCTGGGCTCTGTTTTGTGTAGGATCTTAAAATCCTGCATCCCTTCTGTAGTGGATTTTGCGGTGCGCGGGGAGTGCTCGTGAGCCCTCGGAATTCCGGGTTATAAAGTAAATATGGTATAGTCGTCTAAGATTGCAAGGTCTCGGACGCTTTGATTTGTCAGAATATACCAATTATCGTATCTTGTTGTTATATTATTAGAATATGTGCTCGTAGGTTATACTTTGTGCTGAAAAGCAAGGTTTGTGCTTACTGCGTTGAAGCTTCGGTTGGGCAGGCCTTAACACATGGTTCATCCGACTCTCATTTTGACTCTAGGGGCTTCGTCAAGCTTAGAATAGCCATAGTAGTAATGCAAAACAAGGCAGGTCAATAGTACATGACTCGCACGTTTAGGGGAGGAAGTAAAAATCGACGATGTTCGGGGGACTTGGTTTGGGGTTTCAGATGTTAAGGCTTAACGGTTTAGCGGCAACAGCGACATTTTGATACCAAGAAGTTGAGAAATCCCAGAACTTGGGGATCCAGGACTGCGCTTTTCTGTTCTGCTTCCTTTCCCGTCCACGTACAAGCGCATCAAGAATTAGAACCATGGGGTTTTGGCGGGATATCATGCTTTCTTGACATAGGGAACATAAAGCGATAACATTTCAATACTTCGAATAGGGCATTGCGTTTCGGTGTAAAATTATTCTATATTCGGGTAGGAACCATAAAGAGGAGCATCATCATTCATCGTTCCGACACCTATTACATTACTCACAAACAAATATGTGAAACAGGGGGAACCCTGAGTACGCAGAGCTTCTGGCTTCAAAGTTCAGGGTTTAGGGTCGAGAATAACGTTTCAGGGTCGAGGGTCTCAGGACGCAGGGTGCTCGGATCCAGGGTTTCGAACATGGCCTCTGGGGCGCGCTCTGTTTTCTACAACTTTCCGCGGCCAGCGACAGGCAGCGTGCAAAGAAGCAATAAGCACATTCACGGCTACGGTTCCCAGATGCTACGCTCGAAACCTAATGAGCAGGCAAAACTCGGTCTTGTGCTCTGGGATCTACAAGCCTACGTCCCAAATTAGAGCCTCAAGCCCTGCAGGGATTAGTGTAGCCGCAAACCCTACAACACAGTGGGCTATGGCTGGGTATAGACCTAAAGCCTCTAAATTCTAAACTCTAAATTAAACCCAAACCTAAAATGACCTGGAACTCCAAAACCCAAACCTCCACCCTAAACCCGCCCGCCACCCCTCCCACTTCTGTTGGGGTAGGCGGGCGCAGTCGAGCGCTCAGTGAGACCAAGCAGGCTCTGCTAGAGCTGCAAGCGAGCACAGTCCTGAGAGGTCTCCAAGCTAGCATCGCCGAGCTACCCAGAGAGCCCAATACCCCTTAATGAAGGAATATGGCATAAATTATATCGGGCTTCATATTATGATTTGAGCTATATTCCTTAATTAAGGGGTATTGGGCTCTCTGGGTAGACAATATATTTTATAACTGTATAATCCTAAACCACTGGATTTTGGCCTCTCATGGCGGGGGTTGCATCATTTTCTTCAAGCTTTGGGGTCCAACTGGACGAGGATTTGCGCCCCCAACCCTTCAGGACTTCAGGCGGCCTGCAGCTGCACAAGCGTTGGGGGCGCCCCTCCCAACCCCTCACGATCAACTGGGCAGGGGCCCCCCAACCCTTCACAATTTGAGGCGGCTTCGATTGGACAAGGGTTGGGGTTTTTGAAAGTTTGGAAAGTTTGAGATGCCCAAATGTCTATAACAGCCATACTTGCCCTGCCTCTAACTGGCACCATGCAGAACACCCAGGATATGGAGACACCCCCGACAAGCCATGTGAAGGCTCCAAGGAAGGATGCCTTGAAGAGACAAGTTGTCCATCTTCCTGACTACATCGGTCCTTCTCGAGCCTGAACTCTGCAAATGTCTCAGCTGCTTGCTGGATGCTCCTGCCTTGGATCGCCACCTTGGCAGTGTTGAAACCCCCACACTAACCCTAAACCTAAACCCTCAACCCTCATTCCCAGAACCCCTAAAGCAAACCTAAATCGGGAACCCGCCGGGCGCCTAGAAGCCGTAGCCCCATCCAAGAGAGCTGCTCCTTGGACCCACGCTGGTATCCCTTTCAAGCGGCCTAAGTAACTATATAGCAGAATGTAGGGTTTCTATATTAGGAATTACTATTATGATTTGGGGAGGTAATCCCCATAACAGTACCTAGGACCCTTAGGGGGAGTTTAGGGCTTATAGGGTTTACAGATGTTTACAGGGTTTAAGATTTAGGGTTCAGGGTAGAGTAGTTCAGGGGTCGGGGGGCGTGGGATGTCTGAAAATGCCAGGCTGAGGGTTAACGGGCTTGCTACGGTTGATAGAAATCCTAGGGGGGGTTCCTTTAAAAGGGATCTATATAAGGGTACCTTTAAGGGGATCTATAGGGTTTAGGGTTTAGGGTGCTACATCCTGGGGGGTTCCTTTAAAAGGGATCTATAAGGGTACCTTTAAAGGGATCTATAGGGTTTAGGGTTTAGGGTTTAGGGTGATGATATAAATCCTGCATTACCTTAAGGACCCTAAACCCAGGGAATCATTGCATAGTCCTTATTATGGGTAATGCAGGATTTATATCATCAGCCGTACGGCTAATGAGAGCCCTGAGAACAGCGGTGTTCACATTGGCTTATGCGGAAACCTCAAACCTAAATGGCCTGAAGCAGTGAACCCTAAACCCTACACTCTACCTTAACCCTGAATAGCGCACCTTTTTAGGGCTCTTTATTAGGATTTCCTTACATAAACCCTTAAAAAGGTAGGTTATTCAGGGTAAAGGGGCCCAAGGATGCAAACCTCGGAGCTTGCTTCAGTCTGTACAGCCGCGTGCTCTCAGCTTTCTGTCTCGGAACTTTCGGATTCGACGAGGGTTTAGGGTTTAGGGTTGCAGGCTTAGCGGTGCTACTGGCGGGAGCTTGGAGTAAGGCCTCTTCGTCCTACAATATGGGGCTTGACACACGATCTGTGTAGGATTCAAGAAGGGGCTGCTAACTTTCCTGCTGGCTGGTCAACTTCTTCTTTTTCTTTTTAGTATTCATTCTTACACCACTCCGTGAAATATTAATTTATGCTCACGACCAGCTTCTTTTACGAATATTCCAAGCTTCTGACAAGCTATGAAACCTGCTCTGGGCTCGGCCCAGAGACATTTGCAGACGTTTGCATGCGGCACACAACGCACCGCGGAGACACGTTTGCAAGCGGCGCACAACGCACCGCGGAGAAATGCCAAGCTTTCCGAGGACTTGGAGTGAAACCTCTGCACAAAGCAGCTTATCCAACACAACCAACCCTTCCTTAACTTTAGAGTTTAGGGTTTAGGGTAAGGGGTTTAGGATCACACTCTAGCTTGATGCCTCTCCCCACCCCTAACCTGTAAACTGTAAACCGCATAACATGCAAAATAATAAGGCTACTGTAGGGCGTATTGAGGGCGTATTGAGCAACCCCCCCCCCCCCCCCACCACATTATTGCTAATTGTTTATATAGGCCCCTATATTACGTCGCTATGTTATGTAAACCTTATAAACCCTATACCCTAAAACCCTAAAGCCCTAAAATGAGAAGGCTATACTCTCACCGGTATGGAGGTCGTGCTCAGGTAGCCTTTGACCTTCTGGATAGGCACCTTCCCAGGACTGAGGGGTGTGGGGCTCCAGGGATCGGGTTTAGGGCTTAGGGGACAAGGTTTAGCGTTTGGGGTTTAGGTTCGAAGGGGCCCCCACCCTGTAATAGTGGTATAATAGGAATACAATAGGGCCCGAATATCATCCTTATAGTCACTATTACAGGGTGGGGCCCCTTCTAAGGTTTAGGATTTAGCATTTAAGGATAGACGATCTTTGCTTTTGCCCCCCCCCCCTACTTGGTCCATTGTGCTTTCATGTGCACTCAACGGTGGTGCTCTTGTTCTTGCTGCTGCAGCCACTGCTGCTGCTGCTGCTGCCGGTGCAATACCTGACACCTGACAACTTAGTTATCCACAATGAACATAATTCCTGCCACCAAACACGCTACACCACTAACCCTGAATCCTTAAGTCGGAAAGCCTAAACCCTGAACCCGCACAACCGCCAAAGTCCCGATTCCCGCCCGTTGCCCGCCTCTTCCCGGTGGAAGATCCCTGCCGCCAAGGCGGCATCGGCGCCACCACTTGGGCCAAGGGCGTCCTGCCGTGTTTCAGGCCTTTGAAAGTGCAACGATCCTTTGGAAAGTATCTCAGGGTTTAGGGTCGGGGGTCTAAGCTTTAGGGGTTATAGAGCGTGTAGGGCTAGACTCTAGAACCGAATCTGACACTAGTAGCCTAGTTGATGCCCCCTGAAGACCTCTTGCAAAAGCAAACCGAAATCCCATAACAGCCTGTTAAAGATAGCCGAAAAAACGCTCTGACTGCTTGAGGGTTCACAGTTTCTTGTTTAGGATTTCAGGGTCAAGGGTTCAGGCCCCCTAAACCCTATAAACCCAAAACCCTCAGCCCTAAATCCTAAACCATGGTTCAGTTCAGGGCTCAAGGTTTCTTCACGTTTCCAGTGCAACCATCAAGCAAAGATTTCCCCCCCGTCGCCTCGAAGTGCTGAGGGCCTCCGGCGCCGCTCGACGCGATGACAGGCAGCGTGCAACAGCCCTTGACCTTGCACCACCCCGATGGGGGGAGGGGGGCCATCTCTGGAGTCTAAGCCTAAGATGCGGCCCCAGTGCACCGGGAGGGTGAGAGAGTCATCTCTAGAGTCTCCAAAACCCGAAACCCTAAACCCGAAACCCTAAACCCTGCACCTCTAAACCGTAGTGAGCCAGGAAGCTACTAGCTAAGCCCTCCGAAGCTGCAAGTCACAAATCTTCACCTCTGTACTTTGCTTTCACTGACATTTCAAGCTCCCCGCTTTCCAAACCCTAAACCCTAAACCCGAAATGGCCCCCCTAAACTCTATAACTCTAAACTAAGCCAACCCATGTGAGGCTTTTAGCTTGCGTGGGGCTCTGCCTGTCGCACGAGTTCCAGCTCGTATCCGTTGCCCTGGCCATCCCGGTCGATGCAGTTCCTGCAGGCTCCGAGGGTTTCCAGGTAATGTACAGTAGAAGCCAGAAAGTTGGAACATGGCTTTAGGAGGATTAGTGCTAGGATCCCTTATACTTTACCTTTCGGGCATGAGGAGTCTCATGTTCCAACTTTTTGGCTTCTACTATAAGGGTCTGAATAATTAAAACAGGGGTTTTTTGGGGATTCAGTAGAATTATATCCCAATATACCCCCCATACCCTATTCTAATTATTAAGGCCCCTATATTACATCATCCACCTTCAATGCCTTAAGGCGCTACACCCTACAGAAAAAGGGCTGTAAAAAACACTAGAGTCTCTTTTCAAAAGCCACGAACCCAAGAATAGTAGCACTAATAAATTAAACCTAGACCGTAAACCCCTGTCACAGTGGCCAAGGAGCAGGAGCAGCTCGCCTGCACCCAACGCCTCAACAGCCTCTGCGCGGCGTCGTGGCTGTTGTGCGTTGGTGTTATTTTCAGGGTTCTGACAGGAGGGACCCATAAGGGGTCTGGTTTGTGGATTGAAGTTTAGGGTTCGGGATTAGGCTTCAGCGTGTGAGATCTTGTTGAAGACTTGCGGCTTTGGGTTTAGCGTTCGGTCGGACATATGCTACCTTTTACACCTAAACTCCTAAACTCTTCCTAAACCCTAAACCCGAAACCCTGAACACTAAATGCTAGACGCTACACCCCTGAACCCCAGCTAAAGCATCTGCCAATCAGCAGCAAGTTCAGCCAGGTTGTCCCCTCTTGTCGAAGTGAAGGTTTGGGGCTTAGGGCTGAGGGGGTGTAAGATTCAGGGTTTAGGCGTGTTATGCTGGGAGCAGAACAAACATCCATAACCCCGTGGCCTGCGCGAGCTGCACGACGTCCATCTCGCTGTCCTCACGGCCGCCCTTGACGGTGCAGCAGTACCTAAGCAACAGCAGGTCCAGGAAGCAGCAGAGGGGGGGGCTTCGATGGTTTTTGGTTTGCTGAAATGGGGGGCCCTATGACTTCCTTGCATGTCTCCAACACTCAAAACCCTCAAGAAACCTGTCCGAACAGCCATCCCTCTGTGATATTCATAGTAGAAATACTAGTAATAATAATAATAATAGTAATAATACTAGTAATAGTAATAGTAATAGTAATAGTAATAGTAATAGTAATTGCAATAGTAATAGCAATAGTAATAGTAATAGTAATAGTAAGAGTAAGAGTAAGAGTAAGAGTAATAGTAATAGTCATAGTCATAGTCATAGTCATAGTCATAGCCATAGCAATAGCAATAGCAATAGCAATAGTAGTGACAGTAATAATGGTTACAATAACAATAACAGTAGACCAACTCCAAGTTTCAACAGGGCTTGCGAAAATGATGCTAAGGGGCCAGGCGAACTTCTCGCCGTTGGGACCCAGCGGCGTGGATTTCGGGCCTTGGCCCACCTTGCAGATTTCGAAAAAGCGACTCGGACATTCAAGTCCCGCTTCGGGTTAACAACGAGAACCAGGGCTTTTGGGTATTTTGCACAAGTACTAGTAGTAAGGTTTTGGGCTATGTTGCACCAGTAGTATAGTTATAGCAGTTCTAGCATATGACGCTGGAAAGGTGCTACTCTTTCAAATTAAGGTGCCGTGCAGGGTAATTGAGGTGCCGTGCAAGGCTTTTTCACATGGCTGTCTTTGGCTTTGCAAGGGTTGGTTATAGGACCCCAACAAGCAACCAGGTTTCCCGCACTTGGCCTCAGTCCGCGGGTCCAACATGGATGTCGAGCATCATCTACTGCACATAGCAAGCATATGTACATCAGGAGCTTCATTGCATCTGCGACCCTGTCATGAGGATGCATCTTCCGCTCCATCCCAACCCTAAACACCAAATCTTACATTCGTATGCATATATATATAGAGAGAGAGATACACATGTGTATATATATATATACACACGCACACCCCGAAACCTAGAACTGAGAAGGACCCAAGACTCACATAAACCTTGAGCGCCAACTCCCTGACAATCCCTTTTCGAACGCCCCCCCCAGATTCCCAGACCTCCTTGAAGGTCGGAGCAGTTGTAGTTGTGCTTCTAAACCCCAAAAGAATTCCTGAACCAAAGGAGCCTAACCCCCCCAAAAGTCGCTAGAAAGCTCCTCTGTCAGATCCGACGACCCCCAAACCCTAAACCCTGAACTCCAAAACCCAAACCCTAAGCCCGTTGCCTCAACGCAGTGGTGACCCGAGGACCCAGGGTCCGCGGTGTAGACCCGGCGCCTGGGAGCTGCGCGGCTTAGAGTCTTCAAGGCTTAAGGTAAAAGCCAGAAAGTTGGAATATGATTATCCTAACCCTTCTATGGTAAATTATAGGGTATCCTACCCTGAAACCATATTCCAACTTTCTGGAGTTCCCTGTAGGGTTTTGGGCCGGTCTATACCTATATGTCTCCATTGTAGTTCCTTTTTGTGGTTAACCAAAATCTAGATTAAAGGATCCTAACCATAAAACAGGTTTACCAAAACAAGGAACTACAATGCAGACTACAGGTAGGACTTAGGTGGGCGTGGAGTGGAGGGCTTTGGGTTCAGGTTTAGGGTCTTTAAGGTTTACGCGTTTTGGATTCTATATAGATTTTTAAGGGGCTGTGGAATAGACCCGGCACTTTGGGAGTTGAAGCCTCTAAGGCTTCATGCTTGACAGATGAGGCTTAGGGCGTTTTGTTGTTTAGGCTTTGTTCTTTAGGGCTGGGTATCGCATCAAGGAATATTCCTCATAGTACAGCAGGGATCCTTATCAACAATTCCTTTTCCAAACATGGGGAGTTGTTCTGAATCAGGAAGTAGGGTTTAGGGTTAGAGTAGAGTATTGGGTTCACAACTCGGGGATAGGCTTTGGGGCTTAAAGGTTTGAGGGTTCGGAGTTGTAGGAGTGCGATCAAGAAAGCTTTAGGCCGCAAACCATCAACTCAACGTAGCTCCGAGAATCAGAGGTGACGACACCCATCCCACTGAGACCCGTAAAGTACATGACCGCGCATGAGACAACCTCTGCCCTGCAGAGATCCTCTAAACTCGAAGCACCGTAGACACCCTCCGCAGCACAGCCGCTCAATCGAACCTCATGCAAGTACATGATACACCACAAGAGATACCTCGTTTTCGAAAGGAGCCCTAAACCCCATAAACCCTGACCTTTTGTGCAGCCATGGCGCGGATCCACACTGACGACGACGGCTTGCCTGCCGTACCTGGCAAAAGAAGCTTGGGAATGGTTTAGGGTTTAAAATTTAGGGTTTAGGGCAGGGTTGGGCCCACTTCATAGGACTTAGGGTAAGTAAGGTTACAACTATAATTATGATTAGGATAATCTCACCTGGGGGACCTTACAACCCCAACTAGAACCCTACTTACCAAGTCCCATGAGCCTTTGAGTAGGCTTTAGGGAGTCTCGCTATGGGATTCGTGAAAAGCGAAACCTTGCCGCACTCTTCTGAGGCTTCAGACAGTCATGTGAGCTTTGTGTTCTATGCGCGAGAATCGGCCATGCTTTACTGCAGCAACACACCTTGAGTGATACGTGGGACGTATCTGAGAGCTCATGGCTTTGGGTTTCTGGCTGGGAATTTGCGGTTGAAGGTTTTGCCGTGAGGGCTAATGTTTGGGATGTCGGAAGAAGGATTAAGCCGCTAAACCCCCTAAACGTTAAACTCTAAACCCTATTATAGCCCTCAACCCTGAATCCCGTAAACCCCAAAACCTGAACCCCGTAAACCCCAAACCCTCTAAACCTTTAAACCATTAACCTTGGTTTGTGTCCATCTTGGTTTGGCTACCTACTACTTGAGAGCTACCCACTTCCATGTTTGATGGGGTGCTGCAATCGGATGTTTGAGGTTTGCTTGATTTCCTGTCTCAAGTTGAGGATGCGCAGTAGGCAACGTAGTACAGTAGAAGCCAGAAAGTTGGAATATCATTATCGTAACCCCTTTAAGGTAAATTATAGGGGATCCTACCATTAATCCATATTCCAACTTTCTGGAGTTCCCTTTAGGTGTTGATGTTCAAGCTACCTGATTGGGGCTCTAGACTTTCGCAAGGAGCTTCGTGCTGATGAGCTCGATGGAGGACGTCCCCGTGCCCTTGTTCCCTGCAGCATAGTACCTGAGCCGATGCGGCGCATCCCTAAACCCACAACTGACATCCCCGAACTGATGTTGCTACACCCAAACCGTACAAGCCCTAAACCGTAAACCCCAATCCCCAAAGCCTATAAGCCCCTCAACCCTCAACAAATCATAGGGTTTCAGAATTCATTGGTTGATTTCCTAGACCCAAGAGTAACCTAGGAACAAAAAGGGTGCCCTTTTTGGTTTAAAGGGGCTTATAAGGGAACCTGAACCCTAAAAAAGGGAATAAGGGCCTACTCTAGGTCCTAGTTTGGCTGTTCGGGGACTTCTGCATCAGTTGGGCTTCGGGGTTCTGCTCTGAGCGTTGTGTAGCGGGGAATCTGTAGCGTTCAAGAGACTCAGGCTGAACTTGACATATCGCATGTTCCGTATATCCTAAACCCCAAAAACCCTAGGGCCCCCACTACCTAAACAGTAGTCTCAAACCATATACTATATACCCCAGTAACCTACTGTTCATTAGGTAACTTAGGTAACTGGAGCCCTAATTAGGGAAACCTAAAACCCTAAACCCTGACTCGTAAACTCAAAGAGCCTAAAATCACTGGTGCTAGCGTCTCGGATCTCAGTGCACCGAGACCTTGTTACATTAGAGTTGTTGGCTGAAGGCTTCCAATGAATCCCACGCGCCTGAGCCTACAGCTTATGCTTGGGCTGTAGGCAAGTTAGGGGTTTACAGTTTCTACCTGGACCCTGAACCACCTACCTTTGTAAGGACCTTTGTAAGGAAATGGCCTAAATAACGCAGGTCCTTTAGGGTCCAGGTATAGTTGAGGGATTCGTAGGGTCCATGGGACTGCAAGTTTAGCTGACACATCAACCCTACCTATCGTCTCCATTGTAGTTCCTTTTTGTTAACCCAAATCTATATTATAGGATCCTAACCATAAAACTGGTTAACCAAAAGGTTGAAAGTCCAGTTATAATTGTGCAAACTGACACGAGAACATGCAGATATCCATCATAACCAGAAATGGGGTCCGACCACGAAACTTTCCTCACAGCTCTATTATATCCTTATCTAGATAAAGTGGAACTACAATGGAGAGTATAGGTAAACCTCCAACACATCACCCCCTCGGGAACCCCAATAGGCAAGGCACGCCCGCGCCACGTCCACGGCGTCGGAGCCGATCGAGATCTTGTCTGCTCCAGCGCGGAAGTAGACGTCGGCAACTTCCAAAGCAGAGTAGCTCTTGCCTGGAGAAGGGCTACACGGTTGATGATCTAAACCCTGCACTACCCATAGTAAAGGATGTACCATAAATCCCATAGTTTAGGGCCCTTAAGGTAATGCAGGATTCAAATCATCAACCGTAATTAGGGCCATAGGGCTTAGGCTTTTAGGGTATCGCGGCCGATACCCAGGACTTTCAGGGACTGTGGTCTATGAATGCTGCTCCACAACCGATTACTACTCTTCCACGTGCCACATACAAGCCGGAAAGCCCGAACTAAACACCCAAAGCTTGAAACCCCAATACTCTAAACTCCCAAAGCCGTCAGACCGCAAACACTAGACCCGAAAATTCCAATACTCCCAAACCCTAAACCCTAAACCCTAAACCCTAAACCCTGAACCCTAAACCCTAAACCCTAAACCCTAAACCCCAAACCTTAAACGTCCGACACCCTGAAGCCGAAATGCCAAAATTCCCAGACGCCTGACAGACCCTGAAAGCCCTAAACACCACAGTTGAACACTGGGCTCTTGCTGGGCTTTGAAGTAACCAGACAGAAAAAATGTAGACTTTTATTCCATGATGGGTCCCTTTGAGTAATAGGTCCCCAAAAACGTATTAAAGTATGGTGCCCCAAAGCCCAGCTTAGTTTAGGGTTTAGGGTTTAGGGTTTAGGGTTTAGGGTTTAGGGTTGGCTTAGTAACCCTAAACCCTAAACCCTAAACCCCTTAAACCCTAAACAAGGAAGGCGACTTAGTCCGCCAGGACGAAGAAACCACCTTGTTTACTGCGGGCTCCTGATTAAGAAGCTCCTGTCTCTTATGGAGGTTCTTGATTCTACCAGAATATACATGATATTATATATATATATATATAAATAAACACATATCTACCTATGCGTGCATCTATACCTATGTATCTATGCAAAACTTCTGTATGCGTGTGTGTGTGTGTATGTAAGTATGTGTTTGTGTATGTAAGTATGTGTGTGCATATGTAAGTATGTATGCATGTATGCATGTATGTATGTATGTATGTATGTATATATGTATGTATGTACGTGTGTGTGTGTGTAAGTGTGTGTGTGTGTGTAAGTGTGTATGTATGTATGTATGTATGTATGTGTGTATGCGTGGATGCATGGATGCATGCATGCGGGTATGCATGTACGCATGCATACATGCATGCATGCATGTAGGAACCAGCATCCTCTTACACCGGCTCCAAGACTAAACTTTACTCTGTAGTTGACAGCCCAAGAACCTTTCTCATCGGTGTACGAACGGATTCCGCCACCCACAGTCAAGGGCACGAAGACCCGTTCCTCGGTGGCACGAGGTGTCAGACGCGGAGTGCGGGAGATTAAAAGGAGGGACCCTTTTTGGGGACCCCTCCCCTACAATGGGCTATATACTGGGTATATCATAGCTATATTAAGGGTATATGCCTAGGGGTCCTTATTAAGGGTCCTTCCTTTTACCCTTGGATAAACGATAGAGTTCAGCGTCTGGGCTTAGGTTGCCGGGTCAGGGTTTGGGGTCAATTAATGGTTTAGGAGAGATCTAAACGATGGGATTCCGGCTGGAGCATGGGTTTGGAGTGCTGAGTGCTGGATTGTAGACCTGCGTTTGTTGGGGTATGTAGGGTTTTGGGGTTCGGGGTTTACGGGTTTAGGAATTGACGTTTGGTGAAGGGGTTCGGTTTGACGGTGTGAGGTTTGAGGCGGAGGGGCTCACACAACAATACACTTAGTCCCACCCAAACCCTCCATTGTTGTGGTTTCGTTGTTTCAAAAAGACCCTTGACCTTGCTTCTCCCCCTAGACCCGGGAAGTCAAGAGCACAAAGCTCAAAATCCTGGGCTGCCGAGCTTGGGCGTGGGATTCAGGGCTTGAAACCCTGATCCTGTAGAAAGGGCCAAGACTCTGCTGCGCTCTTCAGAACCTCCAGCATCGGTTGGTCTTCCAGCACCATATCCCTGAACGCGGTGATATTCCTGGGATAGGGTTTCGGAGCACTGTACCGTACAGCTCTTGGATTTCCGAGCTTCTCTAGCTTCTCCATTACAAGGTGTTCGCTACTTACAGTGCCAGGATGGGAATGCTCAATGCTTATGAAGGAAAGAGGAAACGCTTGGCGAAACCTAAACCCTAAACCCTAAACCCCTAAATGTCACTTGCTGTGGCGCCTGCCCCCGCAAACTGATTGGATCAAACATTCTCTACTCGTGCGCATGTCTTTGTCTCCGTCCGTGCTCATACAACTATCCTAAGGTCCCATAGTAGTTCCTTTTGGGGTTCATATATAGTTTCCTATAAGGTAATCCCCAAAAGGAACTACTTTGGGGCCTATGGGTAATCCCACTTCGAGCGGGGTTCTAACATGCAAGGCGCTTCCTACCTGACTAGGTGCTCGCCTGGGGAGGGGTGAGGGGTGGGTGGGTTCCCCTTTACTCAAAGGGGAAAAGGAGGGACCCTTAATGGGGACCCCTACCCTATAATGGGCTATATAACGGGTATATAATAGCTATATTAAGGGTATATACCTAGGGGTCCTTATCAAGGGTCCCTCCTTTTACCCTTGGATTCCCCTTTACCAGGCAGGTTGAGTTCATAACTGTCCAAACCTCAACAATGAAAGTCAACATCCCGACACCCGGATTCCCGAACCTGCGAACCTCTCAACTTCAAAGCCTCAACCGGCAAACCTTACACAACACATGACAGACAGAAACCATACAGCCGGTATTAAGACCAAGAAACACAACCCTAAGCCCCAAACCAAACAGCGCATATCCTACAACCATTTTGGCCTCCCACGCACAACACCAAAATAATCCATAACCTTCTCGATTATACCCCTTAAATAAAACCTAGACCCTCTAGCCCTAACTTTTACTGTATTTCCTAAAAGGACTCAAACCCGAGGCACAGGAAGGAGACCTCATCGGCTCCATCCTGCAGGTTTTCTGCAGCTTTCGGGTTTATAGGGTCTTAGGGGTTTAGGGGGTTTAGGGGTTTTAGGGGTTTAGGGGTGTAGGGTCGAAGGTTTCAGGGTTTAGGGTTTAGGGGTTGGGGCTTAGGTTGTATGGAGCTGTGACAGATTTAGAGGCTGCTGAAGGGTTCGTGCACAGCCTGTGAGGGTTGTCACCGACCGTTTTCTACGTGGCCTTGGAGCTATGTGGCAATTTCAGGTGAGCTGAACCCCGTCAGAGGCTTACCGGGTTGAGCAGTTCAACTTTTGACTCATGTAGGGGCCTTAAAGCTTTGAATAGGCTTTTGGTGGTATATCATACCATAATTGTTTCAAGGAACCACCACATGATAACCCTGAGCCCGAGACCCTAACGCCTAAACCCTGAAGCTAAGCGGCTACGCGGTTTGAGCTCCCGAACCCTTCGATTGAGAAAAGGAGGCTCGGGAGTAGACCAGTGGATTTCCCCGACCCAGAGACTCCAATATCCCTTAATTAAGGTATATTCCTTTTTAGCATATATTCCTTTAAGGTATAATCCCAAAAAGGAATATACCTTAAATCATATTTGGGATCCATTATAGGTATATTCCTTAATTAAGGGGTGTTGGAGTCTCTTGGGGACCCGCCTGATAGTATCGCTCTGCCAAGGACACAGGCTTGCCGTGGTTGCGCACCTGCCCCTTCTCCTGAGGGCTCAACTCTGAGGTACAAGTAGGTAAAGGCAAAAGTAGGTAAAATAATGGCCCAACATCTAGAATCATTAGTTTGGTTACTAATATGCCTATGCTTATGCTTATTCTTCTTAGTGTTACTATCTAGAAACAGCCATTATTCTGCATACTGTGGGTCCAGATAGCACTCATCCCGAAACATCAGACTCTGAGACCCAATACGAGATCTATCGAGAGTTGAAATCTCTGACCACAAAATCCTAAACCCTAAACTAAGCACTCAAGCTGGGGGTCGTTCTTGGCGCTTCTGGGGCATGGGGTTGAGGGGTGCATTTGGGGTTGAAGGCTTCCTTTAAACTACCATGACCTGCTTTTTGTGTAGGTTCGTCTTTTCATACACCCTGATCTAGAATTTGAAGGGACCCTACAAAACCGTAGATCTTGATCTATTCGTAATTCGTTTATGCAGGGTTTAGGGTTTGGGTTGGTGTTGTTTTGGTTCAGCGAAGGGGCATCAGCCAAAGTTAATACGGCGAGGAACGCTGGAAAACGCGACACCGGCGACATCCTGCAAGGGCTTTGAGTAGGGTCTAGCTGTCAACTCCCCCAAAAGCCCAAGCCCCATAACTGACAAAAGCCTCAGAGCACACGGAGTGACACATCCGCACTATACCCAGGTCCTTTTGGGGGCTACCTTATAGGATCCTAAATGTAAACCTAGTTAAACCAAGAAAACAAGGAACTAAAAAGGGGAGTAATTGTAGCCACTAAACCCTAAACCCTAAACCCTAGCTACCTTTCAGGAGTTTGTCCATCATCCAATACTTGGACCGAGGCTCCCGGACGTCGTACCTGGGATGTTTTGGGGCGAGTTTGGTTGGCCCCTTAACGCCTCTGAAAAATATTCGTAAATAGGGTCCTACTAAGCCCAATAAGGGAAAATGTAAAATGTCCCAAAGGCCTACCTAGCTAGTTAGGGAGACTTTAGTCTACGGTACCTCCAAAAAGCTGATCTTTTTCCCCTAAGGCCCATCGTTTTAAGGACATATCAGAATCATCCGAGGAAGTCATGACAAGAAGCTCTAAAAGTTGCAGTTTTGTTTCTGGCTCTGCAGGAATTGCAACAGTGAGATCGGTTCTAGCATTCCTGTGCTGCTTGCTACTGTTGAGGCCTTAATGATTAGAATCGGATTTTGGGGCCCAATATACTATAATTATAGTAAGGAGCCCCCAAACTAGTATGGGTACTTATTTAAGCCCCTATATTAGGTGCTCGTGCGCGCACTTAGATACACAGCACACACCACTGTGGGTCGAGGGTCAAAGTTTCGGGCTTTGTCCGCACATGAATGCCGTCATCGTCCTGCTTATCTCCACAAGTACTATACCCTCCTTAGAACCATAATAAAAATGGTATGTTTAATATTCTCTTGGGTTTTATATGAACAAAAACAAAAAATAATTCCTAAGGAGACTATAGATTATATCATCCTCTCTATCAGCACCATCATTCTCATGGTCGCCAGCACCATTGCATCCGAACCGTGCACCGGACCGGAACCATGCAACATCGCTACGGAAGGAGTGTGCGATGTCCATGATGCAAAGTGGCTGATCGCCCTTGGTAACGACAAGGTCCCCAGCATCGTTGGACCGCACGTCCAAACAGGCAATGATCCTGCAAAAGGTTGAGGGTTTAGGGCTCAAGGGGTGGACCCTTAAAAAGATAACCTCTCCACCCCAAGCTATCAAAACCCCGAGCTCCAACTACAAAATATTGGATTTGGGAACTGTTCCAACTTGAGGTTCCCCTGTACATACCTGACTGACAATTGGCCAACCCTAAACCCAGAGACTCCAATATCCCTTAATTGAGGAATGTTCCTTAAATCATGTTAGGGATCCCATTATACTTTAAGGTATATCTTAATTAAGGAGTGTTCCTTGAATCATATTAGGGATCCTATTATACTTTAAGGTATATCTTAATTAAGGAATGTTCCTTAAATCATATTAGGGATCCTATTATACTTTAAGGTATATTCCTAAATTAAAGAGATATTGGAGTGTCTGGGAACCCTAAAACCCTAAACCCTAAACCTAAATTCTAAACCCCTAAACCCCTAAACCCTAAACCCTAAACCCTTGAGGCAAGTAAACCCTAAAACCCGAAACCGTAATCCCTTAACCCTAAACCCTAAAACCCTTAACCCTTAACCCTAAAACCCGAAACCCTAAGCTCGTTCGTCCTTCTGGCCGGTGGCCCGGGTGACGGTGAAGGCGCCGGCGCGATGGCGGCCTCGCCACTCGGCCCGCCGCCCTTGAGCCAGCGATCTAACCTGAGGGGGGGGTACCTTAGGGATCCTTAGGGTGCCTTTTAAAGGGGGTCCTTAAAGGGATCTATAAGGGTTCTATAAAGGGTTCAGGGTTTAGGGTTCCGAAAATGCGATCTAACCTCATGCGGGTGGTTGTCAAAACTAGGGTCCGTTCTGAGTTCCAAAACTATATAGGGTGTATATAGCGTGTTCCTCAAAGGGACCATGATTTTGAGAGTTATCCATGTACGCTTTAGGGCGTCGGTCGAGTTGAAAGCTCTTCAGGGTTAGGGGCGAGTCTTGTGAATGGGTTTGTAGATCCCTTGGATGGAAGTTGTGTCTTGCAGTTGGAAATCATAAGATGTGGGGAGTTGTCAAAATTATGGTACCTTTTTGGGTCCTCTAAATACTAGGTCCGGTATTATAATAGGGACCCAAAAGGGAACCGTAATTTTGACAACTACCCATATGCACCCATCGGGTTCAGAAAGTTTGGTTTCGCTCAAGAGACCTCTCAAGGCTTTGGTTGGCTGTTCATGGGCTTCCAATGGTTTCGTAGAGCCAAACTACTTGGAGTATCTGTCGTAAAGTCCGCGCTATACTTGGAGGGTCAGGGGACTTAGTAACCGGATAATTTAGGGACTTATAAGTACCAGAACCCCAATTAGGGTCTCTTTTAGGGTACTTATAAGTCTACTTACTACCTACTTACTAAGTCCCCCGACCCTCCAAGTGGGGCTCACGCTGCCCTACACCCCAAGCCCTTCGACACTTATAGGGCTGATGTATTCCGGAGTAAGTGAGACCCAGCTCCTCAAGCCCGACATCGACAGACGAACGGATTTATCGGTTTAGGGTTTAGGGGTTCAGATATTCAAAAGTACATGGCCAGAAGCACAGGAACATGCAGCAAACACAGGTGAGAACACAATTACATTACACAGGCAGGCCCTAATCCTTGAGCCTTCAACCCTAAACCCTTAACCCGAAACCTGCAACCCTGAACCCGAAACCTGAAACCCCTAACACTAATCCTGAACCCTCATTCTTGAAGTCCTCTCTTGTCCTGCCTGGGAAGTCAAAGGGTCCTTGTACCGATATAGTAGAATGTAGGGTTTCCATATTAGGAAGTGTATACTATTTTGGCTTAGGGGAGTATCCCCCATAACAGACCCTAGACCAGAAACCCCAAACTCTAATCCTGAACCCTCATTTTTGAAGTCCTAAACCCTAAACCCGTCCTGCCTAGGAAGTCTACTGGGCCCGAGGCTACAGCTCCGCAAAGCGCAAAGCGCAGCCGAGGGACAGACTCAGCCCGACCGTTCCGCTCTTCCTGAGCTTCAGTTGAGGGCTTATAAGGTTTAGGGGTTTAGGGTTTAGGGTTTGGGGTTTAGGTTTAGGGTTTAGGGATTGGGGTTTGGGTTTAGGGTTTGGTTTTAGGGTTTAGGGGTTAGGCTTTAGGGTTTAGGGTTTAGGGCTTAGGGGGTTTATGAGGATACAGGGTTTGCGGAAAATGAACGGCTGTTCCGCTCTTCCTGAGCTTCAGTTAAGGGCTTATAAGGTTTAGGGGTTAGGGTTTAGGGTCTAGGGTTTAGGGTTTGAGGATACAGGGCTTGCGGAAAATCAACGGCTGTTCCGCTCCTCCTGAGCTTCGAGGAGACTGAATTTTACGGAGCATACACAGCTTATAACCCTTAGGCTCTAAGGACTCATACTTTAAGGCTTCTGGGCCCAAAGACCATACTATGTAAGGCTTTCGGGCTAATTTGAGCCGTGGGGTAAGGATTACGGTTTGCAGACGAGGGATGATACGGATTACACGTAGGGCTAAGGACCCCTAGGTATATACCCTTCTTGTACGTTTTATATACCCATTATATAGCCCATTATGGGGTAGGGGTCCCCATTAAGGGTCCGTCCTTTTCCCCCTTGAACTGAGTAGGGTTCACAGCTTAAGGCTTATAAGGATTAGGGTTTCGGCTTGTCCTGGAATGTGGGTTTAGGTTCCCTTCTTCCCGGCCACCCCCAAGCCTCCCCCGAAAGGCGGTGGGGACGGAGCGTCTTCGGCACTAGGGTCAGAGGCTTCGTTTATACTTCTGGGTGAGAGCCTCCAGGGTTTTATTGTAAGAGTTTAAAAAACTGCCTTAACATTATATACATCTTATTGTAAGACTGTTGATTTTTTTTAACAAAATACGTTGGTCATAATACCAAGTTGTGGTTTAAGGGATATAGCTAGATGGATGAAAGAATGAACCAGATCATTCATGAGGGTTTAGGGATATGCGGATGCACGGCTCATTCGGTTTCTGCTCTCGTGGCACAGGCTAAAGCGTCCGAGGCCCGAACAGAGGGTTTACCAGTCGCTCAACCCTCGCATTTAGGGTTTAGGGTTCAGGGCTACCCCCCAACACCCGAAACCCTCAGCCCGAAACAGCACCTACAACAATCTGAGGAGCAGGCAGAATCGACGGAGGATACGAGCACTAAGAATGTCCAGACAAACTAGAGTTCACTTCTCGGTTGCCCCGCCGACTTCCATTCCAAACAAGGCACCTGAAAGACCAAATGTCCCTTAAAAGTAGGGGCCCTGAACCCATATACTATGAATCCCTATATGGTATATGAACCTTAAACCCTTTTAGGGTTCGTTTCGTCCTTAAGGCATGCAGCTCCGGATGGAACTGCGTGGCCACACAATTGCCACGTCGAACCGCGCAGACAAAGCGCTCGCCGTACCTTAGCTTGTGCAACGGATCGGAGCTGCATTGAGGGAAGGTGGTGTTTGATGCTTCGCATGCTCCTCCCCTAAACCCAAAAATCCTGAACTAGACACAAAAACCGCCAAACCAAGCTCTTCCCAGCATGGCTTTTTCCATGCCTTCAGCCAAGATGGATGCAAGGGGCCTGGGCAGAAGCAACACAAGGAGGCAGGATGAAACGAGAAGCGGAGCCTTCGGAATGACAGGCAAAGGGTGATCGCCATGTGCTCATCCTGAGATAATGAAAGCGAAAGATATCCAACCCGCAAAGACAATGATAAGCCCAGCTCCCATGACAACGAAAGCCGTAACTCTAAACCGTAAGGACAGCCACAAACCCAAACCCCGTACAGCCGTAAAACACCCTTATAACTTATAACATCCCGTGGCCCAAACCCTGACACACATACAACCCTACTTAAACTCCCCCCAGAACCGGAATATTGATTTGTAAGACCCCGGGCGAACCCAAGTTAAACCCCTAAACACCTGCTGAACCCACTCAGAACCTTAAACCCTAAACCCAGAAACCCAAGCCCTAAACCCCTGAACCCCAAACCCCTAAAACCCCTAAACTCTGATGGATCCCTTGAAAGGAACCCCCATAGATCCCTTTAAGGAAACCCCTAAACCCTCATCACCCAAACCCTAAACCCTATACTCTAAAACCAAAACCCTCCTAGAACCCCAAACCTTAAACTCCAAACCCCTGAGCCCCTAAGCCCCTATAAATCCCTTATAGAGCCCTTATAGAGCCCTTATGGATCCTATAAGGAAGCCCCTATGGATCCCTTTAAGGAAACCCCCTAAACCCCTAAACCCCTAATTCCCTAAACCCCTAAATCCCTAAATCCCTCAAACCTGTAAACCCCCTAAACCCTATAGATCCCTTAATGAGCCCTTATGGATCCCTTTAAGGAAACCCCCTAAACCCCTAAATCCCTAAACCCCTGTAAGGAACCCCCCCTAAAACCCCATACATCCCTTTAAGGAAAACCCTAAAGCCCTAAACCGCTAAAACCCCTAAAAGCCCTAAACCCTATAGATCCCTTATGGATCCCTTTAAAGGAACCCCTATAGATCCCTTTAAGGAAACCCCCTAAAGCCCTAAACCCTAAACCCTAGACCATAGACCCTAAACCCTAAACCCCTTTAAGGAAACCCTCATGGATCCCTCCCCTAAAACCCTATACATCCCTTTAAGGATCCCCCCTTTAAGGAAACCCCTAAAACCCTATAGATCCCTTTAAGGAACCCCCCCTAAAGCCCCTGAGCATCGGAGCTGCTCCGAGCAGGCCAGGGCCCAGGGCGCGTGCCCCGAGGCGGGCATGGGCACCCGGTAGGAGTGGACGAAGTAACCTTGGGGGTTTAGGAGGGTTTAAGGGGATCTAGAGTGCAGGGACGAAGTAACCTTGGGGGTTTAAGGAGGGTTTAGGGTTTAGGCGTTTAGGGTACAGGGGTTAGGGTTTAGGGTATAGGGTTTGGGGTTTTGGGGTTTAGGGTTTTGGGGCTTTGGGTTTAGGGGGATCTATAGGGGTTCCTGTAAAGGGATCCATATGGGCTCTGTAAGGGATCTATAGGGCTCAGGGGTTTTAGAAATAAGGGTTTAGGGTTTAGAAGGAGTGAAGTAACCTTGGGGTTTAGGAGGGTTTGAGGGGATCTATAATGGTTCCTTTGAAGGGATCCATATGGGCTCTGTAATCTATAGGGTTTAGGGGTTTAGGAGGGTTTAAGGGAATCTATAGGGGTTAGGGTTTAGGGTATAGGGTTTAGGGGTCAGTTAGGGTTTTGGGTTTAGTTGTTTAAAGGCTTTAGGGTTTAGGGTGTCGGGGTTAGGGTTTCGGGGTTAGGGTGTAGGGTTTAGGGGTTTAAGGGTTTAGGGCATAGGGTTTAGGTTCAGTAGGAGTGGACGAGGTAACCTTGGGGCTCGGGGGTTCAGGGCTCATACTTTCCATGAGAGCCCTCCCTGGATGACTCCATAATACCTTTCCAGAACCCTTATGAAGCCTTTTTTACGAAACCTTCATAGACCCCTTGTGACCCTAAACCCTAAACTGCAGATCCTAAACCCTATATGGGAACTCAGCACTCTAAACCCCAAGCCTTCAACCCTATACACCCTAAGCCCTAAGCCTCCCATGCCCTAAACCGTAAACCCTACACCCTAAGCCCTAAACCCTGAACCCTAAACCCTACACCCTAAACCCTAAACCCAACACCCTAAACCCTAAACCCTAGACCCTAGACCCAACACCCTAAGCCCTAAACCCAGCACCCTAAAACCTAAAACTCTTAAGCTACCAAAACCTACTTTTTTGTAGGGTCCCTATAAGTTCCATATTCAGGCGTATAATAAGAACCTACAAAACTGGTAGGTTAGGGCAAGCCCTAAACCTCCTAACCCAAAGGCTCCATGTACCCATATAGTAGGTACTTAGGCCTTAAAGTACCCATATAGGGACCCCTTTAAGGGCTAAGTACCTATTATATGGGCACATGGAGTCTCAGGGTAAGCCAGGTGGCATCGCGGCTGGTCCGCCTGCAGGGGCCAAGGATCTGCCAGCATCGGCGCCACGCCGCTCCAGTTGATGTTTGGAACCGCCAGGCCTTTCGGTTCTATGAGGGTCCTACGGTTGATGATATAAATCCTGCATTACCCATAATAAAGAATATGCCATAACTCCCATAGTTTAGGGTCCTGAAGGTCATGCAGGATTTGTATCATCAACCGTATAGTAAGGGTTCTCTAAGGGTCCTATAAGGGTTCTCTAAGGGTCCTATAAGGGTCATATGAGGATCCTCATTAAGGGTTCTATGAAATTCCTAGACCAGGGTTGCCTGAAGCCTGTATGAGGGTTCTACCAGGATCCCATAGGGGTTCTAGAATAAGGCATGGGCTTTACACGTTTTGGGCTTAGGGTTTAAGCCCTAAGCCCTAAACTCCCTAAACCCTAAACCCTAAACCCAGGCATGGGCTTTACACGCTTAGGGTTTAAGGTTGCGGGCTGTCATCCCCCGGGAGGCCTAGCGAAGCTGGGAAGCGCTGCACCTGCCCAGGGAGGATGCCCAGAGCTTGCATGCCGGGATTCCTTGGACGGCTTTAAGGTTGTGGGGTTTAGGGGTTTAAGGTTCCTTGGATGGTTTTAGGGTTTAGGGTTTGGGGCTTAGAGTTTGGAGTTTAGGGATTCCTTGGAGGGCTTTAAGGGCTTGGGGCTTGGAGTTTAAGGTTTGAGGGTTTAAGGGTTAAGGGTTTAAGGGTCCGGGGTTTAGGGGATTAAGGGTTTGGGGATTCCTTTGATGGTTTTAGGGTTTAGGGGGTCAAGGGTTTTGGGCTTAAGGGTCTGAGATTTAGAGTCTGGGGTTTGAAAGGGTTTAGGGACTTCTTGGACGGCTTTAAGCTTGCAGGGTTTAGGGCTCGAGGGTTTAAGGGTTTAAGGTTTAATTGAGGATTTAGAGTTTGGGAGTTAGGGGTTAAGGGTGCAGGGGGTTGAGGGTTAAGGGTTTGAGGTTTACGGGTTTAGGGGTCAAGGGTCTGAGGCTTTGAGGGCTTGAGGGTTGAGGGTTTACGGGTCTGGGGTTTCGAGATTTAGGAGGGGATTCCGTGGTCGGGTCAAAACACCAGGCTACCAAGGTCCAAGAGCCTGGAATTTAGGTTTTTCGGGGTTTCGGCCTAACAGATTTGGCTTGAGGCCTAGGGTTTTAGGGCTCGGGATTTGGGATTCAGCTCCACAAGGAAAACTCCCAGAAAGCTTTCCATTTCACGCAGCGTGGTTCTCCTCGCTCCCCTCGAAGAGCGTCTGCATGCCTAGGCAGATGCCGAAGAATGGCCTGTCCTCTTGCGGCTTAGCTTTTGGGCAAAAACAGCTGATAGAGCTTCTCGGGCTTGAATCCTACATAAACCCTATAGGAGCTGGTGCTTTGGGGCTCCAGATGTCTATAGGGTTCGGCCTTTCACGTTTAGGCTTTAGGGTTTAGGGCATGGTAGTTCAAGTTTAAGCCAGGGTTCAAGCGAGGGTTTGTTTTGGGGTGGTAGGGTTTAGGGTTTGTTTAAGGGTTTTGGGGTGGTTGGGTTTTTGCTTGTTCAGTCCTCTTGGAGGTACTTCTTCAGGGGCTCGAAAAATCCATGCTTCTGCAGTGCTTCCACGCATGCACCGAAGGCGCCCACACCAGGGAAGACGATGCGCTTTGCCGTCTCGATGTCGCTGGGACTTTGCACAGGCTTCACCTCACCGAAACCCTCCACCGAGAGAAACACCGCGGTCCTTTAAACCCTAAAACATGTGAAGGCCGACAGCCTGATGATTCCAGAAACGACAGTTAATTGTGTACAAAACCAACCAATTTAAGTCTATATCTGTGTGTCTTCTCACAGCGAACGGAGAGAGACAAAGAGCGACAAAGACAGCGAGAGAGAGAGAGAGACAGAGAGAGAGCCGCTACTCCTCCCCGCTCCTTCCTTTCATGCATGGCACGGTGTAGCCCAGCTTCTGGATCGCATTGATGACGCTCTTCACGTTCCTGGGCCATCACTTTGGCAGGTCATTAGAGTCTACTGTGCCAAAGCAACGGAACAAAACACGGCAGCAAACAAAGAAAGTACTAGCAGTAGCAATGGTAGCAGCAGGCGCCAGCAGCAGCTGCAGGAGTAGTAATTTCACGTCGTCGTCGCGGTGGTGATAGGAGCCGTGTTTGTAGCAGCATCACCACGTCTGCTGCTGCTGCTGCTACTGCTACTGCTACTGCTACAGCTCATAAATAATAGCAATAGGTATCCTGACTCGGAAGCAAAGTCGCAATCCCCGACGGTTTGACTCAGGATACCTTCCTGGGCATTCGAGAATCCGAATCCCCAAAGAGGCAGGTACATACCAACCAACAGCCGAGGCTCCTCTACGAAACCCGGATAATACCACGTATTGTAACCCTTATACTAACCCATATATAATATAGGAACGCTTATAACGCCACCATTAAAACTCCCTTCAAACGGACCCCATAACTTAATTAGACTAAAAACCCAAACCCCATAAAGAGGGGTCAAGGCTCCCAGCCCCATAATCCAAAATTGTCACCTCCATGGTTAGCACTGGCGAAGCGCCCCCCCCCCCCGCGGCCCGTACGAGCCAGCAAGGCTGCGATCGGCGCACTTTGAGCTCGTGGGCTTAGTGCTTCGGGTTGAGGGTTTAGGGCTTGGGGTTAAGGGTTTAGGGTCGGGCGTTTCGGGTCGCAAGGGCAGAAGGCGTTTCTACTACAGGGGCCTTATTATTTAGAATAGGGTTTTGGCGTCTATTCTACCGTATCATCATAGTAAAGAACCTGCAAAGTAGTATAGGCTAGGTAATTTTGAGGGCTCCTATATTATGCCATGTAAGGTTCTACTATGTATGCTTAGGTTTCATGTTCCGGGGCTTCGGTAGAGACCGAAGCCCCAACATAGTATCGGTAATTATGAAGGCTCCTATAGTACTACAGTAAACCCTATGAAGTTCGAAACCGGATTGCGGCCAACTAGCGCTGGGATTCCCTTTACATTACTTTTCAGGATTGATGCTATGGGGCTTTAAACTTTTGAGCTTCTACTGTAAGCCCCTCAACCCCTAAATCCCCAAACCCCTAATCCCTTAAACCCCTAAGCCCCTAAACCCTTGAACCCCGACACTCCTAAACCCACTGTAAACCCTCGACGTTCCCGGGGGGTAATCATAGTAAGGAACCTCCAAAGTAGTATAGGTAATTATTCCCTGAACCCTAATCCCTATAGGGCTCCCATAGTTCTAAACCACTAAACCCTAAATCCCTAAAACCCTAAAACCCTTAAACCCTTAAGCCCCTAAACCCTTGAACCCCTAAGCTCCTAAACCCTATAGATCCCTTATAGAGCCCTTAACTATATTACTAAACCCTAAACCCTAAACCATAGGGCTCCTATCGTACCAACCCTGTCATTATGCCCTAAACCCTAAACCCTAAACCCTCCGAACTATAGTACTAACCCTCGACGTTCCAGGGGGCTGGTGAGCCAACTCTGGTGGCCCTGGCGGCGGGTCGTCCGTGGAAGCCTCGGCCACCAGAACTGCGAGAGCTCGGGGCGTCAGGCCTTCAGGCCTAGCACCTAGGAGTTTAGAGGTTTTAGAATTAAGGATTGCTAAAGGAATACTATAAGGATGACTATAAGGGATCCAACAGGGGCTTAGGAGTTGAGGGCTTCGAATTAAGGAATACTCTAAGGATTACTATAAGGGATCTCCATAAGGGTGCTATAAGGGGCTTAGGAGTTTAGGGTTTAGACAAAAAGGAATACAACAAGGATGACTATAAGGGGTCCGTAAGGGGCTCAGGAGTTTAGGGTTTAGAATGCAGGGTTTAGGGGTCTCAGACTGAAGAGTTTAGGATTTAGGGCTTCAAGGCAAAAGCCTTAAGAGTTTAGTGGTTTTAGGGTTTGGGGTTTGGAGTTCAGGGTCTAGGATTTAAGTTTCAGGTTTTAAAGTTCAGTTCAGGGTTTCAGGGTTTGGGGGCTGCAAGATTCGGGGTTTCAGAGTTCGGGATTTTAGGTTTAAGGGATACAGGGCGTAGGGTCGAAACGAGAACGGTGTGCAGGGCCTAGAGCGCCGTGTGCTTTTTTTTCTGGCGCAGGAGTGGCATGAGGAAACTCTCTTCAAGTAGCGCTTTCCTACTTGGATCATAGCCGGCCCTAAGCATTCTGGATGAATATTCGTTCTCCTGCAATTCAACGTTCTGGATGGGCCCGTAATACTCAGCTATGTTGTTAAAGGGTGCTGGATGGGATTTCGTCGTTCTGGATGGTTGTCATTGCTGCGGCATTTGGACATTCAAAGCACGGCATGATTGATGACCTTGACATCATGTGAAGGCTAGAGAAAGGCAGGATTTCACATGTGTTCGATGTTCTGTCATTGTGGCCTGGGTTTACATCAATAGTAGATCTCCTCCTCGTGTGCCATTGGCGAGATGGTGAAGAAGAAGATCCAGCGGCAACTTGCTTCAATTATGGAAAGCCGATATTCGCAGATAGCTGGTATCTAAGCAACATGATAATCAAGGGTCTGCATGCTCAAATAACACAAGATGATGATGAGGCTTGCGGTCTAGCCGCAGCCCAATTGAAATGATTCCCAGGGCGAGAGAATTGAGATGAGAGTGATGAGCCAGAGAAGCCAATGATATGATTCAATGATGACACGGTGCGGGCTAGCCGCCTGTGGTCAATGATCATGAAGAAATCACAGGTATGACATGCCATCCCATGAAAGATGATCAAGGATGGCTCTAGTGCAGTGTACAGCATGATGGGAAGGGACACCTAAGACCTAAGCCCATGATTGAGCGATTCAGTGGAAAGGCATCTGAGTTCAGGAAGCCCCATAGAATGGCAGAAGGGGCAATAGGGAAACTATGAAAATCTCGCATAATCATAACGATGTCATTGCATGATAACACAATTAGATGAGTCCAGCTGAAGAAAGGCATAAGTCATGATTCCCAGGGCGATGTCTTCGATGTCTGTGGGCGGCGAGAGTGCTGCCGACTCTGCGAGCCCGCCGTCGGCGAAGAACTTCATGTTGAAGACAGCCGCTGCCAAGCTGACCGAGGCTTTGGCAGGAGACGTGGTTGGTTGAATGATGAGATGGATGCTCATGCTCATGAAATGCAATATAGAGTTTCGAATCACCACCCATGTTTGCAAACCCGACAGCAGGAGATGATCCCAAGAAGAAGGACAAGAAGAAGAAGGAAAAGAAGAAGAAAGGTCGCTGACTTGCATGTGGCTTATGAATATGCAAAAGTGATATAAGCCTGCATTTTCTTCTCGCCGAGGCAAGAGCACCTCGTCATCCCAGTCGGAGAGTGGCGATGTGCCGGAGGTGGACGTGCCTGCGGCTGTGGGCTTGCCCAGCAAGGAGTTCTCGAGGAACTCAAAGCAGAGCAACCTGGAGGACCTTTCGGTTCGGCAGTTGGCATGTGTCCTTTCGGGAGTTTATGCCTTTGTGCTGCCTTCCGACATGATGGATGTCGGTGGTTCGTATGAGTCTTGGCAGCGGTTATTTGTTTATAGGGAAGGTTAATCAGTGAGCTCAGCGAATGAGAGGAGTATGTGAGTGCATGAAAACATGATTGAGTACATGAATGATGAGTGAGCGAATGAATGAACTGAATGAACAAATGATTGAAATAATGAATATGAAAGCATGAGTGCAGGAGTGAGTGAATGAGCGAGCAAGCAGCGGTGTGGCTTTCATGACACCTCCAAATCCCTGCTGCTTTGTGCCGGTTCAGGGTTAATTAAGTTTATTACTACAGGTTAGGGCATTTCCCAAGGGCTAGCGGCTCGAACTCTTGATTCCGTTCTGTGTCATAATGAAATCTGGTTCGGGCTTTTTAACACTATTATTACTGTATAGTCGTTACTTGCTTGTGAAACTTCTAGATTAGTCGTTGCCAATGACAATGGTCCAGTCAAAAACCTGCACTGAGAATATTGGGGTTGTGTGTGTAATAAATAAATACAACTTAATTAAATTAAAACTCAGGTTCCCAGTAAAATCTACTTAATAGATAATGAATAGAAACCGACATGACCATAATTAATAATACTCACAAATCCCACGACTGCTGCAGCTGCTGCGGCTACTGCTACTACTACTACTACTACGACGACTACTACTACTAGTACTACTAGTACTACTAGTACTACTAGTACTACTATTACTTACTAGTACTACTAGTACCACCAGTACTACTAGTACTACTAGTACTACTAGTACTACGAATACTCGTAGTACCACTACTGCTATTACTACCTGATAACTTCACTGTTCTCCGAGGAGGGGCTGCTTCAGGATTCCCTTCGAATGGCAAAGAAGCAGAAGGACAAGAGCTCGGAGAACAAAAAGGCTGAGAAGGTGGGGGGGTGGGGATGGGGTCGCTCTTGGACCATTGGACTCTAGCTGCATGTTCCATTGCTGGTTGCCTCTTGCTTGGTTCCAAGTGTTGCTTTCGGCAATCTCAGGCAATCTCATCCAAGGTCCGTGCAGCAGGGAATCTCTGGAGGAGGAGGTTGAATGCCGTGGTGAAGTTGGGCACCGAAGCTGCAATGGACGGTTGAGTCTTGAGAAACCGATTTGTGCACGCATGAGTCAATGAGTGTTTGCCCAAGTGCTGCATTGACTGTTACCATGACAATGACCAAGTGACGGGAAAAGCCGCCAATGCCATTCTCATCACGAACACGAAGACGATGGATGACATCAGGGCCTCCCTGCAGTCCATGGCGGCTAAGCGCCGGAAGAGCCTCGCTTTGTGATTGGAGTTTGAGCTGTGACACCATTGCTTCATGTGTCATGTTTCCACGATCATCAATTGAGGCAGCTTGGGCAGAAGATGCAGGCCGTGAATGAGGAATACGACGAGCTGGTGGCGAAGCTCGCCAAGGACTCCCGGTTTTTTGCGATTGTCGGTGCGAGTTCTGTGCGAGCAAGACTGTTGAAGCCTGGTGTCGCACGCTTGAGCAGCAGCACGGATCACGGATCGCAGAATTTTGGCCTGAGCCTCCGGAGCTTCCTTTGCTCTTCCTAGGGACTTCCGTGTTGCAAGCCATGGCGGACACCAGCAACATGGACCAGGTCGAGGAAGCCATGGCTGGCATGCTGGACCGCATCGAGTCGTTGATTCGGCGGGACGATGTCGCTCTCAGCAATGCCTGGAAGAAGCGAAAGAGGGAGCTCGATGAGAGGGAGGAGGCGGTGGCGGTCCGGGAGGCCGATGTTCTCCAAAGGGAGAGGGCCGTGGCTGAGCGAGAGGGTGCCATCTCCAGAAACACCAGGAAGGCGAAGTGCCCGCACTGCAATGTGAACTTTTGCACGAGGGCTGGGCCGTGTTTCAATGAGAATGGGCAGGACCTGCATCCGCACAGCTGCTTGGAGTGCCACCAGGCCCACAGAAAGGCCCAAGGCAAGGGCCCTCGCGGTGGAGATCGCTGAAGATGTGGAGGCGATGCGACACCGGATTTTGTTATGAGGATGAAAAAAGAAACGTGCCAGAGGGTTTGTGCGAGAGCAGCAGTTTGCAGCATGGGTTGTCCGTTCAGTTGTGCTGCATGGTGTCCCGACATGAACATGACATGGCACTGAAGCTTTCATGAGCTGTTGTATGCATGCTCCTCGGGTGTTCCTCTCGAGATTTCACATGTTCCTTTAGGTTGCCCTGGACTTTTGGGCCGACCCGAGTGCTGCCATGCACCAGGGAGCTGCTTCCGGCAGTGATGCTTCGGCCACCCTGGCACAGTGCTTCCAGATGCTGACGACTCTCATGGCACAGCAGCAGCTGGCGAGCATGCCCAGTGAGCCGGCTGCGGCTCCGGCGACTTCGGCGATGACTCCCGAGACGGTGAAGAAGGAACCGGAGAAGGAAGTGCGGGCGAAGAAGGAGCCGGAGCATGAAGTGGAGCCGAAGACGGAGAAGCCGAGTGAGCCGAAGCTTCCTCCAAGGCAGGTGCTTGATCCGAAGCCAAAGGTGGCAACGAAAGCGAAGGTGGAGGAGAAGGACCCGCCGACGACCCCGAGGCCGGCAATCCGGAAAGTTGGGGTCTTCAGCCTGGAGCATGGCCTCTTGGAGATCTTTGGCCGCTTCACTCCGAATGAGCCAACTTTTCCTCAACCTTTGCCTGGCCCGCAGAGCAAGGAGTTCAGGGAGGCAGCATCTGGAGCCGTGGCCCCGAAGACTCCACCAACACCGCCACCGCAGGCCATGAAGGGAGCACCCAAGTCCATGCCTCGGTTGCCGGAGAAGACTCCAAAGCAGGAGTCACATGATGAGCAGGATGGACAAAATGATGATGATGAAGATACAGAGCCGCAACTTGGTGCTGATTATTTTTTTTGTGTGGTCGTCCTCATTAATGTTTGGAGAGGCAGTCTTCTGTAGGCAGTCTATGAGTCTATGATGGAGCACCCAGCCCCAGGCCGTCCAAGAGGGCAAAGGAACGGGATGCTTATGGGGGCAACCGGGCCCGTGGTGGCGGTCATGGTCGTCGCAGTGGCCACGATGATAGGCACCATGGCCGCTCACAAAGGTGATGTATAGAAAAGGGCCAAAGTTCAAAGGCCGCCGGGAATTGCTGTGCCTGAAATGGCTGGATGTCTGCCTGTCTACAGAGCCATGTGCGACAGTGGAAAAGGTGATGCTGCACGAGAGCATACGGCTGTGAGTCCTGTCATGTCGTTTCTGAGCTCATGTGCACTCCCTCTTTTCATGTTTTGACATCGGACGAAGAGTGTTGCCTGATTGCAGGAGAGCCAGAACAACATGGAGGAGATGGCAGAGCAGACCCCGAAGTCCAAGCGCCGTGACAGCAGCAAGGTAAAGGCAACCCCGAAGCGGAAACGAGGCAATGTCAGGAGAAAGCTGGATTTTACTGAGACCCCGAAGAATGCCAAGAAGGCTAGGCGGGACCCCGCACTCACGCCGATCGAGACTCCTGCTAAAGATGAGAACGACGATGAGCCGTCGGGGTCCGGAAGTGATGATGACGATGATGGCGACCTCTTCCGGGACAAGTTCGCCAGGGTCCGAGGTGGCACAAAACTCAGTCCCACCAGTGCCACCAAACCGAGGGACGAGGTGGCGGGCCGGAGTGGCGACGAGGCCGAGACCCCGAATGTCAAGAAGCACACCAAGGAGGATCCCGATGACACGGTCAACGACGAGGATAAGCCCGAGGCTGCCGTCCCTGAAATCGATGATTTGCTTTTGGCTCTGCTCCCTGCCAGCCAGTCTAAGCTTCTCGGTTTCATTCATTCCAAACTGACAGTTGCAGCCGGCAGAGGAGCCAAGCATTAAGGTTCCTTTCAATGAGTCAGAACTAAGGTGCGATGTTGCCCACTTCGCTGCGATCCTGAGATCCGAGGACATTTTGTCTTTGGACGATGCTGTGGATGCCCTCAGCGACTTGACAGGCCCCTCGGCTGATTCTTTGTTGTTTGTGTCCTCGCTTGCTGAGACAAGTGTACACGAGGCGATTGGACACGCCAGCTCGGCGAGACCGCTCGTATCGCTGCAGACTCCCTGACGTTGAAGGGCAAACGAGCCCTGATGCAGTGGCCTCGTGTGCTGAAGGAGTGTAGCAGTCTTGTGTGCTTTTGTTCTTTCGCTACCACGATCGAAACCTTCAGTTTGGCAGGAGCATGCAGCCAGAGTCGAAGCCGGGGAGCAGAAGGAGGAGCATGACAGGGATTCCAAATCGCAGGCTTCGTCGAGTATGTTTTTCAGATACCATCTTATAGACCATGC